ACCAGCAGCAGTGGAACTTCCAGACCGCCAAGCACGAGTACCAGCAGACCGCCCGCATCCCGGAGAAGTACAAGGGCGTCTTCACGGAGGAGGACCTGGAGCGCGGGTTCGTGGTCAACGGCCTCTGGTCCGTCTCCCGCCACCCCAACTTCCTCTCCGAGCAGGCCATCTGGCTGACCCTGTACCTCTGGAACTGCTACCGCACCGAGTCCTACGTCCAGTGGACCGGCGTCGGCGTCGTCGGCCTGCTGCTCATCTTCCAGGGCAGCGTCCGGCTCACCGAGTCCATCAGCGCCGGCAAGTACCCCGAGTACCGCGAGTACCAGGCGCGCGTGGGCCGGTTCATTCCTCGTCTGTCTGCCAAGCCCAAGTACAAGGGCAGCGGCAAGAAGAAGGCTCCTCGCCAGGCCGCTGAGCAGGTTGAGCAGCCTGTCCAGGAAGAGAAGAAGAGCCAGTAGGAGGTGAGCATATATATCTTTGGCCGTTCGCAGCACTCTTTTGGTTAGAGCTGTAGGTGGACACGTATCAGAATATACAGGGTAAATATCTTGGTGTCACATTTTGGAAAGGATATGCTGTTCTTGTTTCTTTTCAAATTCATTATTTGAGATCCTGTACGGGGCTAGTTCCTTCTCCTTGGTCTCTTTTTTTCTCTTCTTGAATGTGTTCTTGTGTTATATTTCGCTCAGGGAGCAGCAGGTTTATCTGGCATTGGTGACGGGGCGGCGTTGAAAAGCATATGTGTGTATATGGTTGAATATACAAAACAATTAAGAAACACTCTAGTCCGAGCAAGAACTACCGGAACGATAATTCATCCATAAACAGTAAGCCATATATTCAAGTCAACACAAATAGTACCTATCTACTCCTTCATGCGTCCGTCGGTCCCTCCGGGCATTTCCCTCCACGACCTACTCAAACCTTGATCCCATAAAGCGCACGTTCTCCTCTTCAGTCAATAATCCCTCGCCGATCACCCCAACCTACAAGCCTCGTGCATCCAAAGCGGCGCGAAGCGTCTTCTGGAAGCCAAAGACATGCTCGGGGCTGAGCATGGTATAATGGGCGCCGCCGACATCATGGAAGCGGGGCTGGGAGCGCGTGAAGTCCTCCCACTTGCTCAGCTGCTCCTCGCGCCACTGCTTCTTGGACGCGGCGACGACGGCCAGCGGGATGCAGTAGAAGACATCCATGCCGGCGATAGTCCCGGACGGGTCGTAGTCGACGGCCATGCTCTGCAGCGAGAAGGCCAGACTGGCCCACTTGACGAGCGCGGCCTCGGACAGCGCCAGCTCGCTCAGGCGGGTCTGGTCGGCCTCCTCCATGACGCGGGCCAGGGCGTCGTCGCGCGATTTGTCCCCGTCCTGCAGTTCCCGGGACAGCTCGCGCGAGCGCGCCTCGGTGATCAAGTCCAGAAAGTAGGAGAGGTGGAGCAGGCACTCCTTCCAGTCAAGCTGGCGCATGCGGGATTTGATGTGCGGGGGCAGGTTGAAGGAGCCCAGGAAGCGCACCTCGTCGCCGTGGCGCTCGAGCACCTTGCCGACCTCGAAGGCCAGCATGGAGCCGTACGAGTAGCCCGCCAGCGCGTAGGGCCCCTCGGGCTGCTCGCGCTTGATGGCGGCGTGGTAGGTCGTCACGACCTCGGTGATGGTCTCGAAGGGCGTCTCGCCGTCGTTGAAGCCCCGCGCCCGCAGCGCGTACACCGGCCGGTCGACCAGGAACTTGGCCAGGTTGAGGAAGACCAGCACCTCGCCGACGCCCGGGTGCACCAGCCACAGCGGCTTCTTGGTGCCCTGGCCCTGCAGCTTGACCACGGGGCTGTACTCGTGCTTCGTCTGTTGGAGGTCGTGCAGGGCGCGGGCGAGGTCGCGCACCGTGCTGTGGGTCATGAGCGTGATCATGGGCAGCTCGGCCGTCAGGTCCAGGTGCTCCTCGATGTTCTTCTTGAGCTTGATCAGCTCGATCGACGTGATCCCCATGTCGAAGATGGGCGTCTGCACGTCGAAGTCGCCCGCGGGCAGGCCCAGCGACGTCGTGAAGATCGACAGCAGCTGCTGCTCCAGCGCATCCGTCGGGTCCTTGCGCGTCACCCGCCGGTAGAGCTTGACCATCTCCTCGTTGATCTCGAGGTAGGACTGGTATTCGCCCTTCTCGTAGGCGGTCTTGATCTTGGCCCGCGATAGTTTGCCCAGCGCCGACTTCTGCAGCAGCGCCTGGTCCAACGGCAGGAGCTTCGGCCGGCAGCCCGTCGACATCATCACCACCTTGGACATGGCGTCCGTCGTCTGCACGCGCGCGATCATGTCCTCGGGGACGTAGGTGGGCAGGTACACCACGATGATCTCCTCCGTGTCGCCGCCGGGCGGGAAGGACGAGAAGCAGCAGTTGAAGCTGCGCGTCAGGCCCGCGATGTTGGCCTCGTCCAGAGCGCTTTCGACCTCGTGGGGGTAGTAGTTCACCCCGTTCACGATCATGGTTTCCTTCGCGCGGCCGACCAGGGTCAGGTTCCCGGCCTCGTCGATGACGCCGCGGTCGCCGGTGCGGAACCAGTTGTCCGTGGTGAAGGCGTCAGCCGTCGCAGATGGGTTGTTAAAGTACTCCTTGAACACGACGGGACCCGAAACCTCGAGAGACCCGACCTCTCCTGCCGGCACGGGGTTGTTCTCGCCGTCGGAGATGCGCATGCTGATGCCAGGCATGCAGGACCCCACAGAGGCGAATTCCGATGACCTTTGAACATCGTACCGGGGGAAATCAGTGTTGAAGATGGCTCCAGCACAGGTCTCTGTCATTCCGAATCCAGGTATAATAGCATTGGGGGGAGCCCCGTGCTCTTCCAGAAGCTTCGCCACCTCCTCGCAGGTCTTGGTCACGTTGGCCTCGCCACCGGATGCGATGTATCGGAGGCAGCTCAGGTCCCAGCTGTGTTGAACGGAATCTCCCTGGCTCTTGATGGTAGCGCGGATCTTGCCGAGGAAGAAGTTGGGTGCGAAGGTCCTCGAGACACGGTGCTTGTGGATCAAGTCAATGAAAGCCGTCGGGTTCGAAAGGACATCGGGAGCCTGGACATGGATTTGGTCCTTTTCCCCGTACATTGCTTGGAGGTGGATTTCGATCATCGCGGCAACATGATCCAGCCCGATCCAGTTCAAGAATGAGGTTCCCTCCGGCAGCTCGACCACCCCGTATTTACCGGCAATAGCTGCCAGGATTTGCCCATGGCTTAGACACACGGCTTTCGAGTTTCCAGTACTCCCCGAGGTGAGCATGAGTACTGCATTATCACTGGCACTTGAATCCCGGCAGATGTCAGAGCTATCTGTTGGCGGAGCATTGTCCACATCGAGTGACTCCACTGCGACTGGGTCGATAGCTTCTTGTCCTCCAAATTCGGGCAAGAGGTCGGCTCGTGTCAGGCAGAGGGGGTTGTTGAGCATTTTTGACAGGTGTTCGAGATGTGCGATGCGGTGGGTTGGGTTGTTGGAGAAGGGAATCGACAAGGCAGGAAGGCATCCAACGAAGAGAACGGCCCAGAACCAGACGATGATATCCCAGTGAGTATTGAAATGAAGCAGAACCACGCTTCCGGGTCGGAAGTCTTCTCTCGAGCGAAGAGCCCAGGACGCCTTCAAGGCTAGCATGAATAGCTGACTGTAGGAGAAAACTCTGGGCTCGTGCAGGTTGCCCATAGGGTATGAGACGACATTGCCGCCGCCTTCTTTCGCAGCGGCAGTCTCTAGGAGATGTTGTAAATTTCGAAAAGACATTGTGTCAGTCATGGAGAAGGTGGATGAGGGAGTGAGGACATGGGTCTGAGGATAGAACCGAGAGTCAAACAGCTTCACAGTACGTCGCGGCGCGTCGCCTTTATAACCCTACCTGCCCAGGGTTTGGAGCTTCAAGGAACGCATGATGGGCAGTACCATTTGCCTAGCCGCAGTGCTGTCTTGGCTAACGAGGATCAGACTCTTTTGGCAAATATGCAGCCGTCCGAGATATGCAAATGAATTGGCTTTCTTGTTGACAGTGTCAGTTAAGCTACTTTGGTTAATGCTCATCATCGTGTCTAGACGAATAGTACAGTCAATTGAACATGAGACTGCTCGTCTGAAGACACGGATCCGTATCGAGTCCGCATTGGCGAAGAAGGTTAGCAATCTGGATCGGGTCTTCAGAGTGGTGGGTGTCAATAAACTTCAATTAAAGACGCATGGTCAATGCCGGCCATCCCGTTTGATTCAAGAGACCGCTCCCGTCACCTGCTCGCCAAGACTGGGACATGAAAGGCGCAATGATGTCGATCCTGCGAGCTGCCATGGAGTACCGGAGCATACAATGTAGTCTCTGGCTAATTTAAGCTGCGGTCTCTTGATCGAGACAGTAGTCACCGCCACACCCCAGCTATCGGAAAGACAATGGGCTTACAGCTGCCCTCAATTGGCTTGATTAAGCTGCCAAACCCATCGATCTTCACCAGGACATGAACTCAGCCGGCTCTGGTCAGCAAGTAAAGCTGTTCTCACGCCAAATGAGGGCTGCCATATTCTATCCGCGGACATGAAGCATCATGGCGATGTGTCGTCCGGGCTCATCAGCATATATGGCTATAGCCTGACAGGCGTTCAAGCCGAGACTCTGAAGTCTGGGCAATGTATAGCATGGAGCGAGATGGATTGAGACGGTGCTCAGCGGAAATGGCGGACAGACGAGGGATTCGAAACGTGAGTATAGTCCCGCATATATCATGGCCTCCCTTGCGTTCCACTCCTCGTTTATGCGGTATCACCATGAGACGCTCCTGTAAACCAGATGCATATATGCAGCTGCCGGTAGTGGCTTATGATCTGTGACATGACACGAAACCTCTTATGGCCGAGGGATGCTGAGGACAGAATGGTGTTCTCCCACCGTAGCAGTAACTCAATTAACTCTGGATCATCGATCATCGAGCCTTATAACCAACAGTAGTAAATGCACAAACCAACAGACTAGATATGCTGCAGGGTCTCACCTACTTCTGCTAGGTCATAAATCGACGGTGCCCAAGGATGCCAGCGCAGAGGATGGGTGCAGGGTAAGCGATTTGAGAGGAAAGAAGAAGTTTGGCGTTGACCCCGCCTGACGAAACCTGGACGACACACTCCCCCAAAATGCAATTTATAAGAGGCTGGCGACCTCCCCTAAGGAGCCCCTCCCTTCTCTCTAGGTTAGCTAAACTCCACAGTGCAACACCATCCACTTTTAAGATGACAGTCGCACCTAACATGGGCTCCCGAATGGCCTTTATCGGTCTGGGAGAGATGGGCAAGGTAAGAATACCCCCACCGTCCTACAATCAGCTTACCTTCGAGATCCGACGGCAGAATACTATACTGATAAGAGCTTCAGGCAATGACTCGCAACCTTCACCGCGATGGAAATCTCACCAGCCCATTGACCCTCTGGAACCGAACCAAGAGCACCGCGGACGCCCACAGCGCTGACCTCGGAGGAGACTGTAAAGTGGCCGAAACCGTGCAGGAGGCGGTCGAGAATTCCGACATCATCTGGACATGTCTGCAGGACCAGTCCGCGGTGGAGCAGGTCTTTGACAGTGTCTTTGCGGCCAACGTCAACATCACTGGCAAATTGTTCGTCGACAGCTCCACCATCGCTCCGGAATGGTCCAATGCCACAGCCAAACGGGTCATCGAAGCTGGCGGGGAGTTCGTCTCGATGCCAGGTAAGGAAATCGCTATTTCTGGCTTTCTCTCTGATTTTCTGACGCTCAATCTTCATGAAAAGTCATGGGCGAGCCGGTGGTAGCAGCAGCCAAGAAACTCATCTGCATCCCAAGCGGGAAGCCCGAATCGGTGGACCGAATCCGACCTTACCTGGAGGGCGTGTAAGTTTTCAACATAACACAATTCCCTTCCCCAATTGCATAACGAATTCCTCCGGGGAACAATGTGTACGGTAACTCATACGCAAATCCAGGGTATGTCGGGCGATCGTCGATCTAAGCGGAGAAGAGCCGGGCACCTCGTCCCTCCTGAAGCTGATGGGCAACTTCCTGATCATGACGACGATGGAGACGGTGGCGGAGGTCAATGTCTTTGCGGACAAGTCGGGGATCGGCACCAAGAACATGAGCAAGCTGATGGGCGCCATGTTCCCCAACCCGCCGCATGCCATTTACAACCACCGCATGCTGACGGGAGAGTACTACGAAGGCACAGTACGCGCTATCTTACCCCCACACTTTCTTCTCACTTTCACTCCCCCAGCTGACACACTACGCTTTGGCTATGCAGCCCATCGTCGAGGTATACAAGGCATTGGCCCTCACCGGCCAGGTGCTAGATATGGCCAAAGCATGCGGCGCCTCCGTCCCCATCTACGAGGTTGCACGGGAGCACCTGAAGCTAGTGCAGGAGCACGAAGGGTCCAAGGCCGACATCACGGGGATTTATGGCGCCGTCCGGGTGAAGAGTGGATTGCCCTACCGCAATGGCGCCGCAGAGGGGAGCAGCAATCAGAAGGAGTAAAAGTTATTCAAAACTCGGGGGCGTGCGGGTGGATGGTGAACATTGACTTGTACAGAGACATTCATGTAATAAGCTGTTCAGAATAAGTTTTCAGTGGCTGGCCACTAAGGACTGCAGCCTACGTGTCGAATTTTCCCCATTCCTATCTGTGAACAGTACCTCCGTACGGAGTACCGTAATGGTTAGTCGAGGGAGATGCATCGGACCTGTCATATGGACCCTTGGCTATCCTTGGGGCTCTCTCATTCTCGTTCCCGTGTTGTTGTGACCTGCTCTTTGGAAGCAGAATGCACGTTGGGTGCAGGGCATTGCCTACGGTGCTACTTCTACGGTATGAGGCAAGCATTGGGTGTGAACTCGTCCTGCACCACTGTTTCCTTTTTCTTTTTCTTCCTCTCTTTTTTTTTAGCACGGGAGCAGTAGTCGGTGTTTGTGATTTGGTGCTTCGTTGAGTCACACCGCTGGTCTCCGAATCCATTGCACCAATATATTACGATTGAGATTTGTATCAAAAAAAGCTAACAGTGTACTGATCATCTACTATACATACATACACGACACGACACATCATACACGAGATACACTCCCATTGCTCATCCGAGGGAGGGCATCCACCAGCGTGGATGAGAAAGAGGGAAAGCCATCTAGACAGGGTCACTGCAGTACCAGATGAAGGTAGGAGAGAAAGGTTGGAAGAAGAGGGGGCGTAGCGCGCGAGGGTAGAAAGCATGACGCTTGGTATTTATGGGCGTGGCCGACCACTGTTGATACAGGAGGGAAGAGGTAGATTTGAAAGAGTATGGGATGCATTGAGCTCCCCCAGAAAACGATTTGAGAGAAGATTGAAAGGAGATGCTCCGTGACTGGAAAACCAAGAAAAATAGATACAAGACCTAAACAAGATGGAAGGAATCGAAAAAAAAAAAAAAAAGAAAAAGAGAAAGAAAAGCGATGTATGTTCCCCTCATCAGCCATAAAAGTATTCCCTGCTCCAAATAGACACACAAATAGAAAAGACGACGAACGGTCACAACCAGATAAGAATTCCCGTGGTAGCAACCGGAAGGTTAGGCGATAGCGATGGGTCTATGGTGGGATTGGCGTTGAGTCACGTCCATCCTTTCCTTTGGCGCTGTCGTCCGTCTGGGTCGGGTCGGGGGGAGCAATCGTGGCGCCGGAGCGACCATCGAAGTACTTGGCGAACTCGCCAGAGTCGGGCCATTCCCGCGGGCCCAGAAGACGAATCATATCGTCTCGGCTGAGAACTTCTTTGGCCAGAAGTTCTTCGGCCACGATGCCGATTTCCTTCTTCTTCGCCTCTAGGAGGTCGCGGCATTGCTTGTGTGCCTTGGCAATGATTGAACGGACTTCCATGTCAATATTGCGCGCCGTTTCTTCCGAGAAAGGCTTGTGCATCTGCGATTGAGGGTCCTCCTCGTAAAAGATATAACGGAGACTAGGAGACATGCCATACTTGGTTACCATGGCGGTGGCCATCCTGGTTACTTTGTTGAAATCGTCACTGGCGCCAGTGGTGATGGTATCGAAGTGCAATTCTTCGCTGACACGGCCACCAAGCGTCATGGCCATACGGTCCAGCATCTGCCTCTCGTTCATCAGGTAGGTATCACCGTTGGAAGGTAAGTACTGGGCGTAACCCAATGCTCCCTGACCACGGGGGATGATAGAAACCTTGAGAAGAGGATCGGCCCAACGGAAGTACCAGCCACAGATAGCATGTCCAGCTTCATGATATGCAACTGTACGCTTTTCCTCGGGAGAGAGTACAAGTGATTTCTTTTCCAAGCCACCGATTACACGCTCGATCGCCTGCTCGAAGTGCTTCATTGTAATGCTCTCCGCATTTTCACGGGCCGCTGCGCGTCAGAGTTAGCGTTGCGTCTAGCATAAAGAGATGGGTGGAGACAAACCAACGAGTGCCGCTTCGTTCACACAGTTCGCGATGTCAGCACCTGCAAATCCAGGGGTCAAGGCCGCAAGTCGTCCTTTCAAGTACTCGATATCCTCATTGGTCACGATTTTCTTCAGGTAGACAGCAAAGATCTGCTTGCGACCATCCATGGTAGGTCTGTCGATGGAAATATGTCGGTCAAATCGACCGGGACGCATCAAAGCCTTGTCCAAAATGTCGGGTCGGTTCGTACCAGCCAACACAACCACTTGATCAGAAGTGTTGAAACCATCCATTTCGGTGAGAATTTGGTTCAAAGTACTCTCGCGCTCATCATTTCCACCGCCCATGTGGTTCTTGGAACGCGATTTGCCGATAGCGTCGATCTCGTCGATGAAGATGATGCAGGGAGTGTTCTTACGGGCATTGGCAAAAAGGTCGCGCACACGCGAAGGACCGACACCAACAAACATTTCGACGAATTCAGAGCCGCTGACGCTGAAGAAGGGAACGCCAGACTCACCAGCAGTAGCCTTGGCGAGTAAAGTCTTACCTGTACCAGGAGGGCCCGAAAGAATAGCACCGCGAGGAATCTTGGCTCCCAGTTTCTGAAACTTCTTAGGGTTCTTCAAAAAGCTAACGAACTCCATGATCTCCAGTTTCGCTTCGTCCATGCCAGCCACATCGGAGAACTTGATTTTGATGTCCGACTCGTGGTTGAACCGTTTGGCCCGACTTTTGCCAATGCCGAAAATACCGCTCTGGCCACCTCCGCCGCCTGCACGTCTCGACAGGAAAAAGAGTCCGCCGAGAAGAAGGACCGTAGGAGCAAAAGACAAAAGTGTAGCTGCCAATGGAACCTCCTCAGAATATTGAACGGGAATTCGCTCCGCGCTTGGAATACCGAGTTCCTCCTGCGCTGCATCAAGTTTCCGTTCAAAGCTGTCGACAGAACCGATGCTGAAGAAATAGTAGAAGTTGCCATTCTGAGCAGGCGAGCCGGGATATACGGAGGCAACCGCATCACGATCCAGATAAACTCGCACTCGGTTGTTGTTGATCACAACTAGCTTCTCCACCAAGCCCTTCTCGAGGAAATCCGCTCTAAACTCCTGCCAAGTGATATCCTGTTTGTTCTCCGAAGGGAACAGACTGGTATAAAACCAGAAGAAGACGAGGGAACCGATCAAGATTGACGGAACATCAAGTTTGATCTCGGTGAACTTGGGTGGCTCGCCATTTGGCTGTCCTTTCCCGTCTTTCTGCTGTTGTCCTTTCCCAGATGCCGCCCGGGCTTCTGCTCGTCTTTTCCTGAGATCATCCAGATGTTTCTTCATTTCTTGAATGTCCGCCTTCGTGTGTTTGCTGGGATCTGTGTGATCCCTTAAAAACTCGTTTTGCTTGCCCTGCAACTCTTTCTCCATGGCTTCAAGGTCCGCCTTTGGATATTTGGTGGGATCGTCTCCCCACTTTTTCTTGAACGCCTCCCGCACGGCTTTGAGCTCTGCTTCAAGGGTCTCAACTTCCTCCAAAAACTTCTGGTGCCGAGGACTAGGAGACTCAGGATCTTCTTTGCCATTGGTAGCTTCCTGTGAAGATCCCTTGTTGACGTCTGAAGATTGTTGTTGCTTATACACCTCATGCATATCATAAATATTGCTCACATCCCTGGCGAATTTGATGAATTTCATCACTGACGGTGTCTTCCCTTGGACTACTTGTTCCATATAAGACCTCATGTCCGGATTCAAGCCGCAGACCATGCACTTTTGTCGCATTTCCTCCACCATCGATTTAGCCGGCTCGAAATCCATCCGTGTCTTCATCTCCTCGACGAACCGATTGAGCAGCTGCTCGTCTTCGGGTGTGATGGCGTGCTGGGGGGTGTTCTTCGCCTTGGCATTGCCATATTGACCGTTTGTGCTCTCCGTCTTCTTGTCCTGGCCATTCCCGTTTGCTGGCGGCTTCGAGCCGTTGTCGCCGGGTTGCTGCGTGGCGTATGTGCGCGCTCGTTGCGCGAGGATCAGGGCCGAGACGCGGGATTGGGGGGCATGCACGGTGAGCGGCCCGGCGCGGAAGACGCTGTCGGCTACTCTCCTCGAGTACCGGGCGAGATTGCCTGGTCGTCGAAGCAATGAAGTCATGATTGTGAGGGCGAGGTGAAGGGTATCGAAGGCCCGGGAGGGCGACCAGTTTCAGATGGGTGGCGCGATAGGGCGTACGTGGTGTTTGATCTACTCGGGTCTCAATGGCACAGGTAGACTAGTAGTTGCCGTGTTAGGCTTGTTCCTAGAAGCACGAGGTGTAAAGGAGAAAAGAAAAGGTGGTGGCGGGGAGAGGGGCGGAGGGAGAGGGGAAGCTCTTTAGTTGGAGCTGATTTCGTGCCGGAACGAACGATCGTCTTCCCGCCGAAGAGGTCATCTCGCTCGGTCGTTTTTCGCCGTTCCGTTGGATCAGCTGAGTCATCGCGCTCCCACCGCCTTTCTGCATTAGTGATTGAGGACTGGCCAGAATCCTTAGGAATCTGGTGGACTCCGTCATTAACGTGTTAGCTCTGGATACGTTGTAGTTCTAGACACCGCTGCAACTAGAAACACTGTGATTGACCTTGGATATTCTGAGGATTACTTAAGATAGAATTTTAGAGGGCGACACCGATTGTTTAGTCAAGATTTAGAACACATACAGAATGAGCAATTTGCAACCACAGCCAATCTACTGTCTTTCACCGGAGACTCTATTTGACGCGCGAAGCCACTGCTGCTGGATGAGTCGACAAATTTATCAATATCTCTATATGATTAGGCCCATATAATGACAGCGAAGAAATATAACAAGTGGACATGAAAGCTCATGACACAAGAGAAACCACTGGGATACTTTTTGACAAAGCAAAATGCTTAACATTGAACAAAACCCAACTCCATTCATAACCTCAAGGTATCGAAACCGACCGGGCAGCCGGGGAGAAAGAAACGTAAGAACCCAAAAAGACCCTTTAGTCGAGATCCATTTCCTCCTGCGTAGTTCCGTCCACCAAGACTCTGGTCCTCTTTCCTGTTCTGATGCGCTCCTCGCCGTGCAGTCTGGTCTTGCCCGTGTCCAGAGCGGCCAGCTGGCCCTCCTCGCGCTCGCGCAGCTCCTTGCGGATGAGGTGCTCGCCCGAGGCCACCACCTTGCGGTCCTCCTCGCGCTTGCGGTCCCGCGCAAGCTTGCCTGCCAACCGACGCTTGGTGAAGACCCGCTCTCTGCGCTGCCGGATCTCCTCCACTCTCTCCATGGCCTTGATGGTAGCGGCCACCAGGTTTCTGTCGTACTTGACGGGGACGTTGCGCTTCTTGGCGAACTGGGACAGGACGAGGGAGGAGTCGACGATCATCTCCTTGCCCTTGGCGGCACGACCGACCTTGGTCCACTTCACACGTCTCGGTTGTCGCTTAGCCTTGAAGTTCTGGTGGGTAATGGGAATGTCAGTTTCGTTCTGAGATGATGACACCACGAAAGCGTGAGGGGGAAAGAGGGGACTTATCATTTGCTTCTGCAGAAACGGAACGCCTTGGCGTCATTGCGGACGAACTGAATACCCTTGCTAGGGTAGACCGGGCGAGAGCAAAAGTGGCAGGTTTCGACTCTATCGGGGTTGTTCGTTAGAAAAAAAAATAGTCACAGCAGTAGCGATAACGATACTCAAGATAAAGGCAAAACTCACCTCATGATGGGCTATTTTATCGCGTGGAAAGGTCCAACGGCGACTGTGTAATAATAATGGTAGTGAAAGTACTGTCGCAAAGTACCACTGGAAAATGAATGAACAGAAGCCGCAGTGAACCTCCTGAATCCCACCGTCGTGTCGAGAAGATATCTGATGTCCAGGACAGGAACCGCCATTCAAAAAATTGAGAAGCGTGGAGCAGCCGGCACTAAACTCAAACGGGGGATGCGGCGCCGCTCCGATTTTTTATCTGGACTGCGGCGGCTTCTCCTTCCCCAACGTCACAACTTCGAGATCCCTTTTGCGCCTCCCCAAGCAACTCATTTTCCGGGTCACCTTCACTACTGCTTCAAGATGTCTGCTTTTCTCTACGGTGTTGGTATTGCTACTGCTGCCTTTCTGGTATGTCTAAAGTGGATTCTGAGTGGTTGTGGATTGTCAGTGGGCTAACCTTCTCTTCCTCGGTCAGGGCCGCGCAGGCTATGTCGCTCTCCAGCGGTCTAGAGGCGGTATGAACGCGGCGGGCAAGGCATTCTACAAGGGGTAAGCTGACTTGGCTTCTGTGTTCGGGCAAGGACAGAGCACTAATTGATATGTAGAGGATTTGAACCTCGGATGAATCGTCGCGAAGCGTCTTTGATCTTGGAACTCCCGTACGTCGAAGTTTTCCAGACTACCATATAATGAAGGGCGAGGATCGTGTCTAACGAACTGTATAGGGAACGCACTTTGAACAAGGACAAGGTTCGCAAGAAGCACCGTCAACTTATGCTGCTCAACCACCCCGATCGTGGTGGCAGCCCCTACTTGGCCACCAAGATCAACGAGGCCAAGGAGTTCCTCGACAAGCAGCTTTAAATTCTCTTTCCGACCGGAGAGTCTTCAGCGAAGCATTTCCATGCTGTGAAAGACCATAGGGTACATTTACGTATCGACCATTGTACAAGAGTTTCTTCTTTGGGTGCGCATAGCGAGGCGTTGGTGGAAATTTTCTGATCCCGGGAATACATCCCTTGGGCACGCTCCTGATGGGAGACCTGTATTTACACTACTACTGTATACTGATGAGATCGCCACTCTTGAATGTATAGCTATGATTTATTGGCACACATGTGGTTTGGAGCCTAGGCTGAAGCGCTGACGAGTAGCTCTGCATGTGCTTGTCGTATGCCTGTCGTATAGTTGTATAGACCTCGCTGATCCACCTTGTGTGACATGTGATAGGTCTGGGTAATGGTAGACCAGGACAACCTAGGATGTTTGAGCCTCTAATCATAAGATGAGGTCTGCACAGAGTCAGATGCCAAGCCGAGCCAGGGATATTGCAAGTTAACAGGTGTCAACAGGTGTCAATAGTCAAACAACAACCCTGGATGCAGAATGGCAGAAACGCATGGATGGATAAAGAATTTAGTTATAAGGAAAGGGAGAAAGTGGAACGGCCACTGGCAGGCTGGTAGGCAGGCAGGCAAGCGGGCCATGGCAGCCAAGGCCGGGGAGTCACAGCTTCTGTACGGAGCACCTACACAAGTAGTCTGTAGGAAAGGTAAAAAGCGGGCTCGGACGGAGAGAAGACCTTCCATCTTCCGTTACCCACGGAGATTCGGGGTTAACGAGTTCCGTCCGTTCTCGTATTCGGACACCCTACATTGAAGCTTGATGCCAGATGATACGATCAAACTCTCATGACAAGATGAAGATCAAAGGAGCTAATGCGGAGACTAACACCAGGCTGCCGTCATTTTATTCTCTAACTAACTGTTAGACTAAAGACGTATATGGCAAACAATAACATATGTGGCAGTAGATGAGGTAGCAAGCTATCTCCGACCGGATGCGATAATCTGTAAGCTTGTGTCTCAACTCTCTTTTTTTTTAAACTCTCCCTCTGGTCTGTCTGTCAGCTCTCGGATCAGATCTGAGAATTGATCCGGTCCCATTATTGCTTCGATCCCACAATAATCAACTCAGTCAAGCTGTCGTCCTTGAATGTCCTCCACCCCTGAACATTCTCTTCCCCTATCATTCTTTCATATCTGGACCCTTTCCTCTCTCCTCTCCTTGACCAGTCAGTCCGAAAAGAGAGAAGGGAAAAATTAGCCCGAGTCGCCACGTGCTTGCAACTTATCGGGGAAAGGAAGTTAAAGGAAGCACTGCAGTCAGTGTGGATTGAGTAATCCACACTCAGTCTGTCTGTCCCATCCGCTAACTAAAACTAATTCATTCCTCCCCCGACCGACTTCATCATTGTTCTTCTTCCTGTCCTTAGGGTCCCGTTTCTTTTTTAACTTCTATATTTTCTTTTCCCTTCAACTCCGCCGCTTTCTTGCCTCGGTGGATGCGCAGTTCTTCATCGAAACTGGTTACTCGATCGGGCTCACCCTAGTCATTCCTTATCGTGATTAATCCAACGGTTGGCTTGCATCTGCATTCCATTGACGTCGTCGCCGGGAAAAGTAACCCCGCATCCAGCCCATTTTCGACTCGACTCAATCCATACCCGCTCGGTCTAGAAACTCCACTCCGTCATAGAAATTCTCCTTTTACATTCGGGAACCTTTTCCTGTCTTCGCTCCCATCGCAATGGATGGCATCGGGGAAGGCCCCGACGGCATGGGCTTCGACATGCCCATGCTCATGAACCAACAGCAGCAGTTCTTCGGCGGCTATCCTCACGACACTTCGCCGATCCCCTCCGCGCATCATAATGCGGCGTTCCAGGATGATACCGCAATGGGCATGGGTGATGATAGCAATGACGCCAAGAGAAGGAGGATCGCAAGGGTGAGTCGCTGATCGTGCGGTTTGACGTTACCGGGTCGTCGGGTCGGCGATGGGCTGATCATGCTTCATATAGGCTTGCGATATGTGCCGAAAGAAGAAAATCAAATGCGATGGCAAGATGCCCAAGTGCTCCCACTGCATCAATTACAAGACCGATTGTGTCTTTACCCAGGTGGAGAAAAAGCGAAATCCACCTAAAGGGTGAGCGCTCCTCGCCCGGCTGTGCTATCGTCGTCGGTTCTGCGCTAACAACTTGGGGTCCTGCAGTGCCAAATACATTGAAGGCTTGGAAAACCGATTAGGGAGGATGGAATCGCTACTACGCCTTTCGGGCCTGCTGTCAGAGGAAGATGGAGGAAAGACTGATCTCGGGACCTTAGAACGACGTCTTGCCGATCGATCTCTGGCGAACGGTGGTCTGAGTCTACCCAGAAGCCCAGGAAAATTCAATGCCTCCAACTCCAACAGCCAGTCTCAACAAGCCTCCTCGCATCACTCTACCCCTCGGGTCGAATCACAGTCAAGTCCGCACACAGCTCCCACATCTCCGGAATCGCCGAAGGAATCTGAAAATGAAGTCGAAGGTCTGTCGGATATGATGTGCTCGCTTGTAACGAATAACTGTGGAGAAACAAGATACATTGGTCAGTACATGCATCAATATCAGGTGGCCCAGAAATGCAAAGCTGACCTGCTATAACAGGATCGTCGTCGGGATTCTCGATATTCTCTCCGAAAGGCATACAATGGGTGAATGAGAAAACAGGCGACTCGTCATTCCAGGACATGATTTCCTCCGCATACATCGATGACAACAAGTGGATGTATTGGAAGCCTGAGATCTTCAGCGACATATTCGCCCGTCGAGTCTTCAAGCCGCTGCCTCCTAAAGAAGAGGCCATGTCCCTCTTCCAGGACTTCTTCGCCAACTTCAATTGCATGTTTCCGCTTTTTCACGAACCAACTTTCATGCATTTAGTAGAGCGGCAATACTCTCGGGATCCGTACGAAGGCTCCGGCTGGTGGGCTAGCATCAACGTCGTGCTGGCGATCGCGCATAGAATCCGGGTCATGAATAATCTGGTGCCACAAGAGGAAGACAAGAAGGCGTGGCTTTACCTGAAAAATGCAATGGCCGTTCTAACTGAGCTCACGATGCGGAATACGGATCTGCTGAGCGTCCAGGCCTTGCTGGGAATGGTAAGTGGTCTCCGTTGAGTGCTGCTATAGATTGTTGACACGGTCCCAGTCACTCTTCTTGCAAGGTACCCCTAACCCACAACCATCTTTCTTCCTTGTCGCGGCAGCGATTCGGCTGTCCCACAGCATAGGGTTGCATAAGCGCGGCTCTGGGTTCGGTTTGAATCCCGTAGAAGTCGAACAACGAAAGCGGGTGTTCTGGATTGCTTATTTGCTGGATAAAGAGTAAGCCGAGCCCTTCTCCTTTTGGACTGCGTTCGCTGACCTCCGACCCAGTTTATGTCTCCGTTCCGGCCGTCCACCTGTTCAGGACGATGATGACATGAACGTCGAATTACCAAGTGAAGACCCCCCTGACAATATTGGCAATGTGCCACTGTCGGATGGAAAGAGCAAGTTCAACCTCTTCAGGTCGATGTGTCGTTTTGCTACCATTGGGAGTCGAGTATACAAGCGACTATATTCGGCGAAGGCATCGAAACAGTCGGATGGGGAATTGCTGAATACGATTGGTGAGCTTGACAAGGAACTTGAAGAGTGGAAGGACAGTATACCACTTGACTTCCGCCCCGAGAACGAGATCAAAGCCACTCATACCCCGTTGATCCTGCATGTTGTCGTTCTCCACTTTGCCTATTACAACTGCTTGACAACGATCCACCGAATGTCTGTACATCATGGATACTGGACAAGCCGTCTTTCGAACTATGCCATCCAAGGCCTCAATGCCAGGCCTCTGAATCCAAGGGTATTCTTATCGGCAGTCCTTTGCGTGACCGCTGCTCGAGCGTCCATCAATCTCATAAAATACATACCGCAAGGCGACTTTGCCTGTGTCTGGTCAGTACACATCTTGCTGAGCTGCTCGATTGTCCGCTAACAGGCTCTTCTAGGTTGATACTATACTATCCGGTCTCCGCATTGGTCACCCTTTTCGCTAATATCCTCCAAAATCCCAACGATGCACGAGCGCGTTCTGATGTGAAGCTGATGAATGTGGTGGTCAATTTCCTGTCGACGCTGGTATCCGATGAATCAAACGGAAGTATCAAACGCATGCTCACTCTCTGTGGCGAATTTGAACGGATCGCGCAGGTAGTCCTCGACAAGGCTGAGAGGGAGTCCCACTCGAAGAAAAAGCGCAAGGCCACCTCCGATGATCCTAAGAACGCGCAACAGCCACAACCAACTAGTACAACCCAATCCCCAACGACCCCCGCCGCCAGAGCATCAGATGCGTCTTCCTCGGCCAGAACCGCAGTACCCCTTGCATCGTCTTCGTTCCCGGCGGCTCAGAATAATCAGCCCACGGGCAACTCACCCAACGCAGCACGCAACTTCGTTCCCGACCAAGCCTTCTCTGCAGCCGGTGGTGGTCTTCCGCCGAATCTTCAGGAAACCATACATAGCCTTACAAACCTGGGCCCCGACTTTGAAATGCTCAGCCCACACAATTTGGACGGCGTGCGATTTGGCGAGCAGCCAGCCTTTCCGACGGCCGCCGCCGACAACCCCCTTTCATCCTTTCAGCAACCATTCGTACCACAAGATCTGTGGCAGATGCCGATGACCATCGAATGGGATTGGGCTGACATGTCGAACAATTTTCCGGTCTTTGGTGACACCAGCGGCCCCAGTGGCGGGCCTCCGAACGAGTCATGATGCTATGTACACGACAGACACGGGGCGAACTGGTCACACAAAGGACGGGAGAGGGGGCGGTACGGGTACATGCATGCATAACGACTACTTTTGATTTGTTCTCTGTCTCATTTTACTTCAACCTTCCATTCATCACATACGGGAGTTCCACGGAGTTGCGACGGGCTAGGCCGACTCTGATCCAAGGCTTTAAGGGGAGGGGTGCGGGATATTATGCTTCTTGGAGGGATTAGCGTTTATTGTTATTTTTTTCTATCTATTCCCCCCAACCCCATCCATTCACAAAAAGTCCCATCATATACTTCATTACTTCGTTTGATACCTCTCCACTAATCATATTCACTTGGTTGTCTGTCTCAACCCCCTTTGACCTTGAAGTCTTATGTCCATTTTTTGGAGGAGATGTGAGACAAAATGCCGATATAATTTCTTTTTTCCTTCTGGACCGTGTCCTGAAAATCTTGCGGGCATAGATGGTTTTGTACTTAACAACAACCCTCTCTTTGGTGTTCTTAGGGGAACTTGTGATTGCTTGTGTACTAGAAGTGTATGACTTGAAGATTTCGATGTAAAGATCAGCAGTCGCCCAATGCAGATACCGTCATATCTATGGGGGTAGCCCGTCGATACCCTGGATTATTGCCATCCGGTGCTGCGCCGCCTGTCCATGCTCAATTCTGAATACGATCTGGTATAGTCAGGAGTTCGATGAACCGGTTGTTGTATTGTTCTATACCGTCATACAGGAGGTATACAGAAGGCATGGCACGGGCCAGTGCCCCCGGTATTGATGCACGCTAAATCCTGACCGGAAGGTACCCGCGTCGATCCGTTCCGGCCGAAAGTCGAGATCGAAGTGGAACCTTCCCTCCGTCTGTCTTGTTTGGCAGAGGGAAGCCAGTGTATCAGCGCTTAAATAGCGCATCGCTGTAGTATGCTCGACGTTGGACCGCCTGATAATGCCTTTGAGACCAATTTATGGGAGTTACGAAGACGGTACTGCAAGAATGCGAGACCCACGAGGTAGGATGTTGAACGCATGCTGCCCTATTTGATTGAGGCTCTGCCACTTCGTCGGAAACGAAAATGATTCTATGGGCTCTGAGAAGACTGTAACTCAAGTAACGGAAAGTCTCTTACCTCTATATTATCGGTTACAGAGTTGTGGAGGTGATATGGCCAGCGACGTGACTGCAGATGCGGCTGGTGTGCTGCTGTTGGGCCTGCTTTTAGAGGCCATCGTAAGTTTTGGTGCCCTGCTCGTGCGCACCTTTTATTTACCTATCAGCAGGTCCAAAGTTATTATGAGCGTAGGATTTACACGCTCGTCTGCATTCTCGCCATCTTCTGGCCCGCTATCTACGGCATTGAACTCATCCGTGCCAATCGCGTTATATGTTTGGCGTGGGCGGTTCAATGTGGCTCTATGAGCATCTTCACCCTTCTTGAGGCCATGAAAACGGAGGATATTACTCTGATGTATGTCCACCCCGGCTATATCGCATATGGATCGAGCTGATTGTCAACTAACATATCAGATAGCACCCTGGGTGGGCTCCTCATGTTTTCCTGCGGTGTCTTGTATATCATCTTTGAGCCGACAATACTCCATTGAGCGTCATTAGGAAATGTGGTCGAGTCTGGCCGACTCGGAAGATTGCTCCTAATGTTCCAGGTCGGACTAGTACCGTTGGCTATATTGACGACGCGGTCCGCAGCGGCCTCCTTGCAGTCTCGAGAAGGACTTCCTCGTCCAACACAGATTCTAGGATGGACACTACTCGGTCAGCACACCACTCTTGAGGTATGACAACATTAACCCTACTGAACAGTGACGTCCTTTCTCCTCCCGGTCTTCGCTCTTCGGACCAGACGCCACCATCAGATCAATCAACTAGTGGTCCTCTTTTTCACATTCGCCCCGCTATTCATAATCCTTACTATCTCCCACGAAGGCCTCTTCTACTGCTGCCTGAGCGGCACCCTCTTCACCTGGGTGCAGCTGGAGTCCAAAGTCTTCGACTACCAGCGACAGCCCGCATGTCCATCTATCACCCAAGAATCACCACAATTCCGCCCCCTCCACTTTCCCGACCTACGCATTGCCCTGTTCTTCCTCTACCTGTTCCACTCCGCCTTCTTCAGCACTGGGAACCTCGCCTCGACCTCCTCCTTCTCCCTCGGCGCCGTGCTGCGTCTCCTGCCCGTCTTCGATCCCTTCAGCCAGGGGGCCCTTCGGGTCCTCAAGATCCTGGCTCCCTTTGCGCTCGTCTCGGCGAACCTGGGGCTCTGGACCCGCGCGCTGCGCCTGCGGCCCGGGGCGCTCTTTGTGCTGGTTGTCGCCGCGAGTGATTATCTGACGCTGCGGTTGTTCTGGCGCGTGCGGGACGAGGGCTCGTGGTTGGAGATCGGGGAGAGTATTACGGTGTTTGTGCTGGCGTCGTCGCTCTGTGGGTTTGTGGCTGGGCTGGAGATGGTTGGGGAGGGGGTTGTGGGAGGGCTGGAGGGGGGCGCTGGGCTCCATGCTTCTGAGGATGTTGCCGCGGCGGGTGCGGACCCTGAGAAAAAGTACAAGCTTTCATAAGGCGTGTGTGCGAAAAGGGAAGCTCCTATCAACCCTCTCTTCGAGCCCGAGACCACTCATCGAAGGCGTTTGACGCCTCGATACCTTTTTGATTCTGCAGAACTTATCACCAAAGCCCAGCTAGAATTTGGAGTCAGCTTCTCTTATCCTTGAATATATGAAACGGATCAACGCATCACCAGAATACTGACCTTCATACTTCCTGAAGCGCCCTTCTAGGTTTCAGGCAAGAATTGAGCGCTAAACATGTGAAAATCTGATGTGCGTTGACTTGGAGGAGGAGGCCACCGCAACCCTAGAGGCGAAACAAGAGAGCTGCTTCCCTCCACATCTTCTTCATCCCACAGAACGCAAGCTCGACGCGAGCTCACAGAACAACAAGCGTATCAGCCCCCACTCATTTACACCCCGTCCTCATCCATCCTCATCCCCATCCAAATAAGGAGGCCCCAACACCGCACCCCACCGATACTCCCTCCCAACCTTCCCATTCTCCCAACACCCCAGTTCATCAAGCTCCACCGTATCCACACAAGTGAGATCCGCCGCCTCAGCGACGGACTCGCGATACGAGCGCACGACGCGCCCACACTCGTCGTAGAAGACAATGAGGACCTTTCCTCCCGGCCGTAGTGCCTTCTCATCGAGAACATGCAGCCGACCCATCACTCACGCCCAGTGGTAAGTGTAAGTGGTGTAGTCATGTTCAGATTCAGATCCATCCACCTCCCTGTTAGCTTGCGATACATGCTGTATGGGAAAGTCAAAGTCAGTTGGAGACGGTATCTATTGTCCCATCGACGCCCAGGGTGGTGTATTCGGCGAAGATGTGGGCGCGCTGGGCGGAGGAGGAGAGGGGGGAGGTCTGTTTCCATTGTTCCTGGTTGGTGGTGTTAGTTGGAGTGACTCGGGAGTATAGGTGGATACTTAAGAGGAGATGCGCAGACTAACCAGGAGGAGGAGGAGGAGGAGGTCGGCGGGAGAGATGAGGGGGTCTGTTGGGGTTGGCATTGGGTTGTGGATTGTTACTGCAGTATTGAAAGGGTTGGTGGTAGTGGTGGTAGGTGGAGAGTTCACAATCAACAGTTGAATCGAGCGAACTCTTTCTTGGTTGGTGATGGTCCACTAGGCTGGGGGCCGCGGCGCTACTCAGTAAGAGTTAACAGTATGCTATATGTTGGACTGTTGAATTTAAGGAATTTTTGCTGGGGGAAAAATAGAATCCAGAACCCTAACTTGACTATAGATAACTAAACCTAAGTTACCCCGTGAGTTCGGTCGGGATCCCCACGGCACAGTGGGGCCTGGGGTCCAAGTGGTTCAGGAGTAGGTAGGTCTTTGAAGAGACAGCGGTCAAGCACCTTCATACGTGTGTGTTAGTTGCATTGACAACCACCGCATTTCTCTAGACGGGACCCTCTGCGTCGGTTGCCCGGCTCAGTCACTATGTCGGCGTAGAATTCGACGATCAAGAGGGAACATTTTTACTTTAAGTTCTCGCAGTGACCTTAGTCAGAAGACCGAGCATCCTCTTGGGGAAAGTGCTTCCCTGTAGGTCTAAAAAAGGGCTGCGAGTTGATATCAGAGGCGCGTTTATGGATCCTTCAGGGTGGAAACAATTGACAATCCCGATCCCCAAGATAGAAACAGGCTAGTTGAAAGTTAGTTATAGTTGACTGCCTCCATTTCTGATACCAGAACGGCTACCTATAACTACTCAAAGTTCTCCTTACCCTATAACTTAAAGCACGCTACAGTCAACCAAGAATGCTTACCGGTACACTGGAAACAACACCCGTTCATTGACCATCTCCTTATATTTTCGAGAAATTCTGTCCTGGAGTGAAGTGAGGAACGGCAACCTGAAAGTGGAGCAAACAGGTTACAGCTACAACCACCAATGCTGGTACTGACATCAATACACGAACTTAGGGAACCGAGCACAGCTCCCAAAACACACTCAACTATGCCATTCTCTACATCGCAGACATGCTCGTCGAGACAGAAACAGGATGTGCTTCTTCGGGTTACTTCCTCTCGCATTCAGTTTGACTTGGACGAGGAACAGTCGTCGGCCCGCCTCGAATATCCATCCATTGGGGTGACTCGCAAAGAGGGGAGGGGGACAGTGAAAGGAAACTGAACAAGGCAGATTCATCTTGACTCGGGGGACAGAGGTCGGTGCCAGACTTACAAGCCCTAACTTGGACCAAAGCAGACAGGGCAAATCATTGAGTCGATTTCCACGGAAGCCCAGTTTAGAAGTAGGTTATCATACTGTACCTATCAGATATTGTACCTACCACTTACCCTAGCCATAACGTTAAGTCACAATACCATTGGTAGGAACCAGTGCTAGTGCTGTCTACATCATCAAAACAGATTCGGTCAATTGACATCAACGAGGTTGAATTGCTATGGTTCAGGTAAAATAAGATTTCCCTTTATACAAACAGAAAAGAAGACGCAGAGCATGAACCAGTCCCAAACCAGAACTAATTCGCTCCGCCCGATGCTTCCAGGAAAAATGAGATGGAGTCGGTCGATACCGTGAAACTCGACGACAAGAGATGGATAGCAGATGACCAGTCGCCGTTGGAGTGGCCGTGGATTGGGTATGATTCACCCCGGATATTGATCAGACCGGAACACTTTCCGCCAAGTCTGAAGAATACAACAACCCAAATGCAAAAACTGCAGTACAAGATGCGTGTCTGCAGTTGCTTCGGAAATTTTCTCCCCGCATGGGCTAAAAAGTACAGTGGACAATGCACAAAGAACAAGAAAAAACATATGAAATTGGTATAGGTGGAGTCAGTCAGTGGGTGTGCGGCAAGAGTGGTAGCGGCAGACAATCCAGTCACAGCCGGCGCTGGGGTTATACAAATAGATATAGAAATTCTGCGATACATGCGAAAGGGGTGTTCCAACTCCAACACGAGAAAATAGAATATCAACATTTACAAAAAGTCACGCAATCTCGTACATGTCATCAGGGTGATGTGGTGGATGGCTGTCAGTGCAGCGATTCGGCGGGAAGATAGAAGAAGGGAGTTCGGATAGGAGAGCGTTAGGTGAAAGGAGTGTGATGGCGGTTCATGAGGGTTGCATCTATTCTTCCATTCGGCCGAAGATGCCATCGTCATCGTCGTCTGCCTGGGCTGGCCGAGTGCTGAAATCAACGTCCGCGTTGCGGGTTTGTCGCTTGGCACGGTCGGTTGCAGCACCACCCGTTCGGACTTCGCGCTCATCGGAGACCTTGTAAGACAGCGACGGATTGTAAGAAAGGGAGAGAAAGAGGTTGGAAGTGGTGTTCGAGAAGGCCGAGTTGGCAAGGCCTGCGTTGGACTGGTCCAAGCTGTGGCTTTGGCTGTCCGAGGGACTGCGTTGGTCGAGGAATCGAGTCGGGAGGGAAGGCACTGGAGGCACGCTAGGAGACAGCGGCACCGGCCCCATGCGAGGGGTGCCGAAATTGCAGAGGCCGATGGCGGCTGCCAGGTCAGCCTCGTCGTCCTCGTGCAACTTGGCTTCCGCAGTGGAAGGGCGGGTGTCAATGCTCGAGTGCCGCATGTGAGAAAATGCTGGGGATGCCCAAGGAGCGCTGCTCGTGAACGAGCTTGAGGGGCCGGACTGATATGAGTGAGAGAAAAGACCCGAGGCATTGCTAACGCTGAAGCGCTTGTCGGCCGTGGGTTCCATGGCCATGTCTTCATCGTCGTCATCGTCCTCGTCCATTGGGGGCGGGGTCGTCTCAGCGGAACTGAGACCCTCCCGCAGCTCCGACGATGCGCCCGGTGAGGAGGATGAGATCTCCGAGTCGGCTTCGGCGTTCTCATCGGGGTCCTCCTGAGTCATGGTAACCAGCACAGAGGCGGCTTCCAGCAATTGCACTTGTTGGTGCTTGGAGATCAAAAGTTTCGAAGTGATGGCCCACGCAGGGTCATGCTCCCACCTGTATTTCCAAGAAACGTCAATTTACTGCGATCCACCACGATGAAGAGAGAGTTGGAGGGAGCGGAATGACCACGAAGGCGACCTTGGGCAGAGCCGACATGGCGCATTTGCTCCGGACCGAGCCCGATGGCCGGACGGCATGGGGGGAGGATACACACATATGCTTGGACAAGCAGCTGCCATGCTTATACCCTTTCCCGCAACGCTCGCAGCGAAGCTCGGCCATGGATCGCTTTCCCTCAGGTTTGACCAGGTGGGCACCTTCGCTGGCCCGGCGGTTGCGGTTCTTGGTAGTGACTGGCTTGTCCGCTGGGTTACTGGGATCCGAGGAATCTGGCGCGGTGTTTTCGGAGATCGTTGCGGGGGGTACGATGGGGGTGGTCTGGGAAGGGGAGGTTTTGCGAGCGACCGGGGGTTCCTGGCTGGGGCTGTTCATGCTGCGAGACAGATAAGAGCCGAAGCCGGAGGGGGCTCCGACCGAGCTGGACTCCCAGCCTTTCCGACTCCCACGGCGGTGTGCGGGCATCGGAATTCCCATGGAATCGCCCGATTCTTTCAAGGATGCAGCGACCGCAGCAGCGGCCGCATTAGCAGCAGCGGCAGTGGTGACACTCTTGCGACGAGTCACCCGATGATTGGCGTTGACTGCACCGAGCGAGATGGAATGGGAGTGGTGACGGGAGTTGGATTGAGGAAGAGGGCGAGAAAGGGACAATTCCTATTTTATGGAAGATCGGAGTTGTTAGTCGGACATATTGTCTGAGGGGTGGATTCAATAGCGCTGATTGTCCGCAGAGCACGCCATCCACGGAGAAAGTCCAGGGAAAAGAAAAGACAGCACGTTACCTTGAAGGAGGCCATGTTTAGTACGTGGACTGTCGGGCTATCAATCCCGTGCAGTCCAGAGGTAGTAGTATTGATTAGCACCAGAAAGTGATTCTGGGTGATATGATTTAGCGGAGGTGGTGGAGGGATAGTCGTAGAGTAGTCGAGAAGTAGTGAGGAAGCGGGAGGTGGAGGGAGGAAAATGAGAAATAAATTGAGAGAGAAGTGAGGCAAAGAAATTCAGCTGGCGGGCAAAATCCAGGGTTACGAGCGGCAGAGCAGGTACCTGTCAGGCTAATCACGAGCAAGGTTCAGGGCCAACCACAAGAGGGTGCGTGAGTGATTTAACGGGGCAATTGGGAGAGGGAGTCAATTGGGATGATTAGGAGGAAGATGGAGTTTAGGTGGAGAGAGTTGATGTAGAGAAGGGGAAGGGGGAGAGAGAGAAAAAGGAAGCGTTGTAGAAGAAGAGGAGAAAGAGGAAGAGGGGAAATTGCAAGTAAGAGGGGAAAGGGTCGAAGGGGGAGAGAGAGAGAGAGCAAGAGGGACAAAAAAGGGAAAAGGAAAAAATAATAAAAATAGTCAAAATAAAACAAAAAGAGGAGATCAGAGTAAGTAAGTCAATCAAGTAAAGTTAGGGAAAAGAAAAGGTGTTAAGCAGCAGCAGCAGCAGCAGAGGAATGAATGAATACAACAAGTGAATGAATGGATTGGATGGCTGCACGAGGTCCAGTCTAGTATCGAGTAGTAAGTACAAATTGCACTATTATTGTTACTGCTGATAATACTGATAGTCAGAGAGATTCGGCGATAGTTTAGCTGAGTTAATTACATTGTATCAGTCATCGATACCCAGGGAATTGATTGCTAAATTTATTTTTATTTTTATTTCTATTTTCCAAGATTCCAAGAGAGGGGAATTATTACTGTAGTTATAGTTAGATACTACGGAGTACAAAGAGGGATTCTCTAGTCACTACAGTTTTGCGGGGGGGTTTTTCTCCTTGTCCTTCAATTCACCTGATCTTGTCGATTCAGCTTGTTCACTGTCTCCCTGTCTCCCTCTGCTGAATTCCCCCTCTTTTATGATTTTATTTTGGTTTCCTTCCCCATGCAATTTAAAACGAAATAGGCAAAACCATGAGAGAGGATTGGTTGTAAATGACTGGATTGGGTTTTTGCTAGTAAACCAGCAATGCGGGGGTCGGGCGATCCGCTCTGGATTCGACTCAATTACCGTCCAAAAACCAAAAATTCCCAAAGCTGTCTGTCCACGCGGGTCTTTCCCCAGGCAAAAGCAAAGCAGAGGATGAGCAGAGCAGAGCGAAGTAGAGCATCCCATCTCCTTCTTTTCTTCTTCGGTTGATTCTGGAAAAGACCAAAACTACCCCATCTCCAACCCACTCGTCAAGAAACACCAGCGAATGGATTTCTGAGAACGCCGCGAACAAATTAATTTTCGAGGGCAGTCAGGGCTGGACCGGTTCCTGACTAACAAACCAGCAACAGACGACGGAGAAGGAGCAGCAAAACCAGGCAGTTCTGGGATGTTATTTGCTCCACTCGCATCTGCCTTCCGAGAAGTGGAATCGTGGATGTAATCAGCCAGTGCCCGGATTTCAGAATGATTGGGTCTAGACAAAGAAGAATTTCCCCAAGTTTCAGTGAGAAGCAAAAAAAAAAAAAAGTTGAGGTTTACACTCAAATAAATTTTTCTTGGAGAACCTCACTGCTGTAGTGATTTGGCATGACTCTGCAGCAGAGTTATGATTGTGGTGGTGGTTGTTTTTGTTGGAGGCGGAGAAAGCCACAGCTCCGTCACCTGCGAGGCTACTCAGGACAGTACGTTGTTAGGACCCATCAGCTGGTGCTTTTGCAATGGGAAGATGGCCAAATCCTCCGAACCTCCTCTTCCTCTCCTCTTCCTCGGTCCGGCTCATCCATTCTTCAACCTTTGTTTCTCTCCTTCACAAAGAACCATCGGGAGGTTGAATAAGGATCATGGAAAATTACTCAGAAGTTGTAATACATGTAACAGAAAAAGAAAGTCAAACAAGAAAGTCCTTTTGAGGACGGATTTCATTGTGCCACGAACAATCATTGATGGGCCCGGACACAGTGTGTAACTTGCTTGCTGCTTACGACCTGCGACTTCCCAAAAATCACTCAGGCAGATCGGGGCCTCCCGCCCCCGTGGCCGTCGATAGCCAGCCATGACCATACCGTAATTACGCCACCCTTCATCGACCGGTCTAGGGCCTGGAAAGGGTGGGGAGCATGATGTCATTTCCACCAGCTGACCGTACTGTACGGGGCTTGGAGGGAGGGAGGGGCCGGGGGAAGCGCCCGCCCCGGGTGAGTTCGGTACCGTCACGGTAACTGGTATGTTGTGGTACAGTACATTCAGTCGGTACAGTACTGTACGAACTGCCAGTGAAGAGTGAACCCGACCTTCCTTATCTCCAGTCCAGTCAGCAAGCCAGTTTAAACTCAACTCCTCTGCTCTCTTCCCACCAGGCGTGGTGGTGTTCGTGGGTCACCGGATAACTGAGTTGCTCAGTCGATCAATTAATCCTTCTGGATACCCCGTGACATGTCTCACCCCTCTTGGATAATAAAAGTCGTGGACTTACCTCTCTCCCGACTGCGTTGAATTCCATCCACTCCTCAAACCCATGGTAGATGGACTCTGAGTCTCCCTGATCTGCTAGCCAGCTGGGCTGACAGACAGTCTGGCCGTGGCCCTCAAGTGGAGTCGCCCATCACATCACCCTTTCCCCTACTCCTCTTTTTATCCATCCCTTAACCCTTTCCCTATCGATGGATCACCCTACGTCACGATCGCTGAGCCTGACCGTCTGACTGTCTGACTGTCCGACTGCTGACCTGGCGAAAATAAACCCCCCCCCTCCCTTCCCTCCCCCCCTTCCCTCCCCCCTTCCCTTCCGACTGTCGTTCCTGATCGACGAAGGATTGCCAGGCACGCGGGCATCGGAGTCTAAACCGAACCGGATTTTGCAGAAAAAAAATTCCAGGAGAATGCCATGTGTTATTGCCCATCATGAGAAAGGAAAGAAAAAAATGGATTGCCCAGCGGTCAGCATTCATCAGGATTCTTGTTGAAGAACTGCTGCCCAGTTTGGGGAGAAACAAAAAAAAAGAATCCCAAACTCCGGGATGACGTTGTGCACATTCCAGAGGGATCCACTTTGACCTCACTTCTGCCGGAGGTCCATCATCGCACAATCCCTTTTCCTGCTGCTGCCGCTGCTGCTGCTGCAACAAAAGAGAGGGTGAAATAACTGGGAGAGACAAGTTTCAGAAATCGGAAAAAGAACGGTGGTGTTGGTCTGAAGCAATTGCGCCTCTGCGCCAAGAGCGCCTTGGATGCAGTTGTTCTTGTTGTTGATGCTAACTAAATACTGCGGAGTCCTGGGTTTCAGGATCGAAGAAAAGTAGCTCACCGGCCAACAAAAAACAATTGACCATCAACAAGTCAGGCAGAAATCCAATTCCGCGGGCGACGTGCGGAAAGCTAAATACGGTCGCCATTCGGACGTTCGGCCAAAATACTCATACCTTGGGAGAGGCATTGTTTTCCGACGAGGATCTGCAGCCGCAGAGGTGGTCCGATTGATGAGACCGACCACCTGTCAACAGCCCAGTCAGCACAAAATCTCCCGACAGTTGGTTGCCCTGTCGGCAATTCTTCACCTTCACCTTTTCATTCGCAAGTATTCGTTTGCTTTGCATAACGCCATGCTAAAACCGACAGTTCGCACATCACTGGCCTTTTTTTTTCTAGCATAGTCTCGCCCCCAATCGTAAGATAGGCTTCTAGGTGATAGACCCTAATTGAAGGCCTCGAGGGATAGCATTTCCTCTTATTAAGGAAAGAATCAATTATGGAGACACAGCACCGTGGACGGCTGTAGATATTCCTCATGGCAAAAATAACCAACTTATGCCACACATGATGATACACTTTACCCCGGAGGAATTCCCATCGAGAGATTCACCCCTCCCACCCACTTCACCGCTCTAAATCCCAGACCTCAGAGAAAACGCGATGGCACACTCAATCCTATACTGATAGAACCCCCCCCCCCCCGACTCTAAGAAACAACCCTCTGGAAACAAACCGTACAGACGCCCTGCCCTTCCCTGCCCCCGAACCGAAACCTGGGATACTCGACCCTGCCCCAAACCACCAACCTGTCCTTCAGCCCCTCACCCTCACCCTCACCACCCTCAGAGACAGCAGCAGAAGCAGTAAACCACTCCACCAACTCCTCCTCGGTCCAATTACAACTCGTGACCACAAGAAACCCCCCCGGACGAACCAACCCCCGCGCAATCCCGGGGTAGCGTTCACAAACCCGCCTCTGCACCATCTTTCCCCCCTTCCTCTCTTGACTTTCATCTTCAGTCCCCGACACCAACTCCGCCGACAACGAAACAGCATCAAACGTCCCCTTGTCCAACACAATATCAAACCCGCGCTGCTCATAGGGAAACCACCCCAGCCCATCAGCCACCACACCAGCTTCCGAAGCAGAGAGAATATCCCACTCCTCAAACCGAATCTCCGCCCCCTCCCCCTTTCCCCCGGTGCCCTGCGCCTCCCCCTCCGCCTCCCCCTCCCCCTCATCCCCAGAATCATCCTCTTGATCAGAATCAGAAAGATAAGCCCGATGAATCCTCAACGCCTGCAACCGCCGCGCAAGCTCCACACTCTGCGCCGAGTAATCCACGCCGACTAGCTCCCCTTTAAACCCCCCGCGTTTCCGTAACAGCGCCAGCATGCTTCCGTTGCCGGTGCCAAGGTCGAGGATGGAGGGTTGGCGCGCTTCGCTTTGAACCCCAGCTTCGCCCTCAGCGGCATGCCCACGCCCAGGAAGCGTGTTGCACGGCGCGAGGGGAAAGGTCTCGTCGGTGAGGAAATCCAGGACCTTTTCGGGGGCGTTGTGTTCGGAGAACCAGGAGGTGCCGGGGTCGGAGTCATCGTCTACTTCATCGTCGGTTTCCTCGTCGTCGGAGGAGGAGGAGGATGAGGGGGGGGATTGGGTCTGGGTCTGGGTGGGTTTGTTGGTCGAGGAAGACGACGCGACGGGAGCGGGTTGTTTGGTAGAGAGGTGCGAGAGGGTTCGCGCGTAGTAGGTTTCCCAGCTTGATTTATTGCGTTAGTGTTAGGGTGATTTTTATTTTCAGATTCATACAAAGGAAGCAGGTAGGTGGTGTTAAATTGGGGGGAGCGACAGAGAAAAAATCTTGGGAGGGGTAGCGGGGTAGATGCAGTACTTACTAGTCCTTGGTGCCGAGTTCACTCGGTTCTAAATATGTGGGATGTTGGTCGGCCATGGTGGAATTGTGTTGACCCTTTCCCGTTGGCAATTGTCAATGGCCTTGTTGGTGGTGGTGGTGTTGTTGTTGTTGTTCCTGAGTGGGCAGTGGATGGATGGAGTGTCGACAAAAAATTGCCTTGGTCTGGGCTCTGTAAACTTCTGGAGTTCTCCCCGGATCCCGAGACTGATCCGTGCGCTAGCACTAACTGTAGACTGCACTGCACTGCACTACTTCTGGAACACTACATCTTCACCCCTACAACCAAACTAACATCTTCTCTCGCTACAATGCGAATATCACATTTCACCAATAAACCAATAAGCCTAGGGTATTCCGCAGCTGTATGCAGTGACCATAAAGAAATGAGAATAGTATTACAAGTTATCAGGCACGACACGATTCTTTCGCCGCCCTTTATCTTTTATAACACCACGACGCCGCTTGTCCAGAGAGCATGCACAATGTTGAGCCCACGGCCTTCAATGCAAATGTGGACCAATATCCAGGATAGAGAAATGAACGAAATAACGACCGTAGAGCCCGCTTTGGTCATCAACTCATCAATTAGATGAAACAGGTAATGAATGTGGATGGGAAGGAAAGAAAGGAACGTAGATGCCACAACGGCCAGAGTGAAGAGGTGAAGGAATGTTGACCGAACGGTCGGGTCAGAATGAAGTGGTTATAGTCATGGAATCATTTCGCAGACCGATGCCCAATGGCCAGTCCAGTCGAAGACATTATGGCAGAATTACAGAAATTCATCAATATTTCTCATAATTAACCTCTCATTTCCGGGTGGCGGAGACCGCGGATCTGCTATCCGTGACCGGAACCGCAGTCCGTTGAGGCCATCATCCTCAAGGACATCGGAAACCGATCGCGAGATAGGCGCGGCCATGAAGTCCGTCGTTCTCGGTGAGAAGAGAGCGTTGGATTCCTCGGAGCCTTCCCGCATGAACATATCGGTCTTAGCCAACGAGTACGGCCCGGCTTCGGAGTGCCATGCGGGTGGTGCCGATTTGGCAGGTGTGATATCACTTGTCAACCCGGTATGAAAGCTCTGACGTAAAGGCAATGGCCGGGGTGAGATGCTTCGTTTGTGCGAAAGAGACTTGGTAAATCCAAGACTCTCAATTGACACGGGCGTGGTCTGGTTGGTGGAGGGCACCGACAAAGAGCTCATCGATGCTTGCGACATCGCATTGGACGAATGGGGTTCAACATCGGAGTATACGCTCTCGTTGCCAGGAATACAGGTCTCGCCCGACTCTCGCTTATCGGCTCGTGAGCGCCGCTGTTCGGTGAGCTTTGGTGAGCTTTCGCCGAACCACTCTTCAGGGGCGGCTTTGGACAAACTTCCACGGAGGAGGCGGGAGCGGAAATCCGTCAGCTGATAAATGAGACTCATGTTAGGGCCAACCCAGCGGCTGCGCTCCTTCACAATCTCGTACATCGAGTTGAAATCCAAGTCTCGGTTCTTGAAAAGACCATAGGCGATCACCAACGAGGCTGATCGGCTGGCGCCCAGCTGGCAATGCACAAGGACTTTCTTTCCATCTGCGATGCGGGAGTCAATCAGCTCGCATAGTGGGTATAGATCTTCCAGGATCTCCGAGTTATGATCCCAGCCGACGTGGACATATTCCGGTCCGGGTGCTTCATTTTTCGGAGTCGCCGGCAGCGACGCCCTACTTGGGGGATATTCAAATGCGGATTTGAAGGATGTTTCAGAGGCGGCGGTCCATGGCTCCGCAATGGATAGGCGCTTGGGACTGACGGACCCATTGCGCAGTGCGCTCACCACAGTTTCGGTGCTGGCGCTGGCCTTAGTAAACGGGTTTGCGACTTCCTTAGCCACATTCACAACAACATCAAACTGGGATGCTTCTTGCGCAGTCGGTTCCAAGTAGAGGAAAACGCCTGAGTCGTAAATCTGAATGGGCCCATTGGGATAGCCTCGCTCGCTACGCCGCGTCGATTCTCTGGAGTCCAGATGATCATCCTCCTCCTTCAGCTCATGCAACACCCCGCCAGAAGCGGAATCCTCATCTTCTACAGTCTGTAGGGGTGGCAAATTGCTCTCCGACGTAGCCGAGGGTCGCCGGGCGCCATGATGCGTCATGGGCCGAGGTAGCTGCATGCCACCCTTGGGACCGAAAGAAGGAGAAAAGACAGAGGTCAGGGAAGGCGAAGATTCGGTATGGCGCAATGAGTGCGGAGTTGGAGGAACTAGCTCCGTGATGTTGTTGGAAAACGACCTGTCGAATCCGGGCGTGCGGATGGTCAAGTTTGCTGGTTTGCGGCGCATACCCTTCAAAGGCACGTGCACGGGAGACGGGGGAGCGGAGAGATGGTGTGAGGTCCCTTCGACCATAGATGCTGTTGCGATGGGTGGGCGCGACTGGGATGGTGGCGGCATCCTCAGTGAGAGGTTTTTGAGGTTTCGTGCCCGCCTGCCTGGAGAATCGGGCCGTGGAAGACTAGCGCCATCTGAAGCTGGTTGGGAAAGGCTGTTAGTCGACGAAGACTGGTTTTCGAAGTTTCGCGCCGGGGGCATGGTGAATTTGTTGTTGAACGCCAATGGCATGGATGAGGGAGATTCGGGAGAGGAGCTCGGAGATGTATCCGCCACAGATGGCGAGTCGAACGTTGAGATGGTAGTAGTAGGCGAAGAGTCGGCGGAACCCGATGTCACTGAGGAAATACTCGCACGATGTTGGAAAGGAAAGGGACGGCGGGTCGAGGTATTGATGGTGACATTGGTGGGCAGACGGAGAGGTTTGAGTGCTGTGTTCCGCGCCTCTTTCTCGGGGAAATCAAGCGTCCGCCCGCCAAAAACTGACATGAAGGAGGGAAACGAGTCCGGGAGTGTTGGAGCGCTGGTCTGCACCGGCATGGTTGTTTCTGAGGTTGGTGAGATACACCTACGTTTGAAAGGGATCGTCGCCCTTTCCGGATCGCAGCTGTAGTGAAGAGTAGGCGCGAAAACTGGGGCACAGTTGTTGTGACTAGCTCCAAGAAAACAAGGTAGAGTCGCACTTGCTACCAGCGCAAATGACCTTTTGTTTAGACAATCAGCTTCCATGTTTCAGGGTAAGTTGTTGATTTTCGGCAGTAGAAGCAAGCACAGCTGCAAGGAGAGTGAAACCGGTTCGAGGATCGGCCAGCTTCACGAAATGAAAACAACAGAGCTAGTAAGGTCTGTAGAAGCAACAAAGAAGAGAACAGGATCGCATATGCAAGCAGAAGCAGAGATTCGCAGTTGATGTCCTAAATGGAGTCCGAGATCAGGAACATACCAAGGAATGCTGCAAGAGAAGAGTATCCTCTTGGGATCAGTCAGTAAAGTGTTGAGGTGAAGGATTGGAAGTTGAGAAATCTCAAATCAGAAGCAGCGACCAGAACATGAAGTTCAAATGAAGGAGAGAAAAAGAAGCTTTAGGTATAGTTCTTCATGAAAGATATTCGGAAGTAAGTGGTTATGCGACTAGGGTTTGGGGGGGAGGGAGAATTGCCGCCCGGGGAGAGTAACAAAGTGGGCAGTCGTTCCTCCGGGGAATGACGACAGAAAACGTGGGTGGGATTGCTCTCAGTCGCAAACGACTGCCCACCACCACTCAAAGGAACGGCACGGACAAGTCGCAATGCCAGGCAGGCAGGTGGAAAGGGTCCCTGCGTCAAGGGAAGAGTGAGGGGTGTGGGAACTGGGAGAGGGGGAGGGGGTGTTGTTCAACAAGAGGGGGAAAAGAGGAAGAAAGAACAGAAGGGAGGAAGAGGAAGTAAGTAGGAAGAGATTCGGAGGGAGAAGGAAGGAAGAAGGGAAAAAATGAGTGTGAGAGAGAGTAATCGGAGAGCGACAGAGTGAGAAACAAGCCTCTGGGCTCGATGTACTCCGACCGACCGTCTGTCTCAGCAAGACTTGCTGGCACAGAGCAAATTAAAAAATCAAAAAATAATGATAATAATAATCAAAATGAAGGACTAAGAATAGCGATTCATTTGGGAAAGGGCGACGAGCGAATAAGAGAGAGAGAGGGGCGAGTAAAGTGAAAGTGAGTGCAGTAAGTGAGCGAGCGAGTGGGTGAATGGGCGAGTGGAGATCCAACAGGCCGTGTGTTGCTGACAGCACGCCAATCAGTGGTAATGACGAGGAAGTGGAGAAGATGTTCTGCGTTCTTCCTGAGCTTCCCATGGGCTGCAGCTCTAAATTTAGCCGCCCGGGTTGGTTCTCTCGCGATGGAATGTGCATATCATGGGCGCCAACTTCTGCCTCTTCCCCCCTCCCCAACAACCACCCCGAAGGTGGCATATCTTGGCCCCGAATGTTGGGTTTTGAATGTGAAGGAGAGAGAGGGGAGAATTAGAAAGAACAAGCAAAGACATTCAGAGACTCATCTCTCAAATATTGAACAGGGGTTGAAGGGGAAGAGAGAGAGAGAGAGAGAGAGAGAAGAAGAATCCCTAAGGGGAACAGACAGATTGTGGAATGCCTCAATCCCATAGTCCGTTGCAATAGTGACACTGGCATCTCACTTTGCCGGGCACAACCTCTTGAACCAACCAACCAACCAACCAACCAACCCTTTTTAGGTTGGAGCTCCAGGTCTGGCCTTTTCCCCTTTGGTCTTCCCCTCTCATACCCTTTCGGGTCTCCATCATAGAGTCTCATGCCAGGCAGAGGGCAGTGATGGTGCAAGTGTCAAATCCAATAAGAGAAATGAGAAGGAGAGAAAAAAAAACAATAACAAAAAAGACGAACAAGAGAAAAGTCAAATGGCATTCCCCACAAAAGGGTACCGTGGGCGAGGCGGATATAGAATGATTGGTGGGCAGAGCAGAGCATCAAAGAGAAAGCAAAGGGAGAGAGGGGGGCAGGCATAGAATGGACGGAGCTAGTAGTCCACACTCCACGGGAGAGACATCAGGCAAAGAAAAAAGCATGAAACGATAAACCAGAACACTAGATCAAAATAACTCATACACAAGACATAACATACCTATCAAGCTGCTTCCTTCTCCTGGGAAGTAATAGAAAAGCACCCCTTGGATCTTTGACAGGTGCCAGGCCAGGCTGGTGGTGGTCAGGTCCGGATCTATACCACCTCAGGGCAATACTAGGTCCGGGCTGCGATGTTCGTTGCACAGCAGCTGTCGCTTGAAGAAGTCGAACGGAAACAAGCAAGCCCGGAAAATGCAATGACGCTGAGATCGCAGACAGGGAAAAAGAAGAGAAGTCAAGTCAAGTCAAGTTGAGGAAGAAAAAGAAGATTCAAGAAGACTTCCAGAAGTCACAGAGAGATAGGTCTGTCTGCTCAACCCACGAGCAGGTCGTTAATAATAATAATAATAAATGCGCCAAATCCAAGGAGACGGTATCCCAGCACCGGTTGCACAAGATCAATTCCGTATTGGGGAGAGATTGACCCGCTTCAATGGGCGTGCACGGTTCTCGCAAGAAAGTAAAAAGAAGATGACAAAAAAATTTGGTCTGATGAGTTTGCTTGTTGGGTTGAAGAAGGGTTGTATCTTTCGGGTCAAGCCAGCTTGAGAAGAAATCCAGGTTGTCGACTTTCTCGACTAACCTAACTGAACTGTCACCGGGTAAGCACACGGATGATCCCCTCCTTCAACCAGGAGACACGACTAGAGAGAAGAAGACAAGCAAAGAGAAACAGAGCAAAGCCGGTCGGGAGGGGAGGCATGAATCGCTTTTTCACTACGTAGATGCGGAGGGCGATTCAGCAGGGACCTCTCTCTGGCGCCGAGGCTTGGAAAATTGGCAGCGGCTCTCTGGGCCCGTAGCAAAGGTGAAACGCAGAGGCTGACGGACTGGGGCTAGTGCCAATTCCGCTAGTCTCTGCCCGTCCGTCTCCCCTCAGAGCTCCATCCATTTCAGGTCCCAAGCAAGTTTCCCCTGGAAACGGTGGGCCGTCCGGTCCAGGCAGTGGGCCAGGAATAACTTGCCCGAGTCAGGGGAGTCAGGAACGGGCTTCTTGTCGTCGCTAAGACAGAGCACACTACTTTTTTTTTCTTTTGGTTTTGGTTTTGTATGATCTCACGATTGCCCCTTGACGTCTCATTCCATGAAGAAGAAAAAGAAGAAGAAACAAGAAAACCTTTGTGACTACGGAGTACCGTCCCAGACCCTTCGGAACTGTTTCAGCATGGAAGGTTGGGAAAGTTGAGACAGCAAGGCATGAAAATGGCCGTGGCACATTGCAGCTGAAACAACACCCTGAGAGGGCGCGCGCTAAGCCAATCCAATGAGAGGCGGCAGAAAAGAAGTTCGGCCGGGTTTGAAACAAACCAACCAATGCTAAGCCACTAGTTCCATCGCCCATCACGTGTGCAACATCGCCTGTCACAGGCAGGGGAAATAAGGAGGGGAAGAACAAGAAGAAACGAGAAAAGAGCGCCAAATCATCTTCCTTCATTCCTTATATCGTCGATATCGGCTATACTGGGCATGATTGGCTCTGGTCACGGGCCGCCTGGTCGGTTATGCTTCAGATATATCTACATATCTACATATCTACACAGACAATTCCGAGGACGACTGACCCCAGTTTCTCGATAACACGATTCCTTTGCAAATGCAGTGTACCTTGGTACAGTACAGAGTAACTGTCTCACTAGCCTCCGTATCCTTGATATCGCTCAGTACTTGACGCTGCTTGTCCCCGCAACTCGAAACCTAAGATAGCTAGCAATATCGACGAGAGGCTTCGCACTTTTGTCACAGTCGAGACACACCAGGTAGCTAATGATCTGCTACGTCACAGGTTCTGGACGCAATAGGTAGAGCTCCGACTTTCTGGCATGACAAGAAACTCGAGAACCAGTTTCTGCTGCCATGTTGCATCCGTGATCTGCATCTGACGCGATCGGCTCATGGCCACAGATCGTCGTCGGCCGGCTCTCCAGGACTGATATGCGTTGCTGCACTGCGTCAGCTTTATCATCCCGCGCAAATCTCCTTGACCGCAACCTCTTGTCTTCCCCACGGTCTGCAGTATGTGTAGCACACTTAGGTCGTCCCTCACCAGCCTTCGTGCTGACTCATTACCATCACTCAACATCATTCTGGTCAATATCCAGTGCCTGGATCGATGTTACGGATTGAGAGAGATTTGATGAGACCAGACCCCTCTGCGCCCGATTCCACGTGGCACAAAACGTCTATCTGAAACTATGGGGCCAGGAAAATGCCATGGCTCAAAACAGAGAACCACTTCCACTTGGACCGCCCGTTCGGCTTCACGTCGGTGATTAATGTGGGGGGAGATTTCGCGGACTGCGGGTTGCTGAGCCCGGCCATGCTCCTTTAACCTCAATTGCCTCGGTGTGCCATTTTTCTCTTTTGTGAAGACGAGGCTTCGGTAATCAGCCGACAGTGTGCCTAGATGACAATTTTTGACTTAAAATCTCGAAAGCATTTCTACTGAACTTGCTAATGCTCTTAGTTGATAGTGTTTCGTACCGGGACGGTCTGGTGCCTGAACCCTAAGAAGCTATGACTCGCTAAAGTTTCGAAACGCTTCCGTTGTCTAAATGCCAATGGTCTCTAACATGTTGGTCTCCAAAAATCCCCACAGATCAATTCGTGCAATCATGCTCAACTCGACTGTTGGACTAAGCGTTTCCAACCAACACGCAAGACTATCCCGTCTCCTGCGACAGGAATTACCTTTTCCAAAGGCTGAGCACTGTTGCAGTCTCAGCTGTAGCCTAGCAACCGAGCGACCGAATTTGAAGGATTACACGCGCCACCCATCTATCATAGGCAGCGATCTGAATAGCAGCGCTCGACACGAGACTTAAGCAAAGCCTCCCGCTGCCGTCGGTACCCCTTCACATAGTGTCTTCGCTAGCGTCGGTCCGATTTTTGACGGCTTGCGTGACGGCGCCCCAGTCGAGCTTCCCCAACCTTAAGTCAGATCGGATCCGAGCCATATACTGATCTCTAGACGAAACACCCGAGTATCAATAGTCTGGAGGCTAACGCAAAGCTCATCTCCCATTCCATGGGACTCTATTCGCTGAAAGGAAAGCTCTTTCTTGTCTGTGCTGAGCATCACTGGCTATTATAAAGTAGCAGGGAGGTATCCTGTGGCATAATCGTAGAAATTGGATCCCTGGACCCCAGGCCTGGACTCAAATCGGCCGGAAGACACAAAGAATTCCCGGGCAATACGAAGGCTTCCCAATGCGCGATGAAGGACCCTGGTCTGAAAGATACGTCGGAGCATAGCTGAGACAATCGTCGGCAGCTGCCTGTTATCGGGACCTTGCGCCATGTCACGGTTCTACCACCTGCGCCTGAGTATGAGTAGAATCCTGTAGGCCGTGATATCATCTTATCGCTGGTGATGTATCACTAAGTCACTTTGCATAGTCTTGACAATTGATAAAGACAACAAGAGTAACGAGCTGAAGGCATCGATCTTCCCCGTTATGATTATACTTTCGTTATGCTTGCTTGACTGTTGACCTTCGAAGCACCCTCATTGTATGTAGGCTGCATATGACGGCCTCCCCAGATTTTGCATATCATCTGGGGCAATTCCAGTTTCTTTCAAGGTTGTTCCCAAGGAACGTCGACCAGTTAACTGGCTCTGTGCTCACCTTCCCAGTTGACGGGGCTGACACTGCTAGGAACCAAGGTTTGACCACTCCGAACCATGGTTCTAACAGCCCCTGGACGTTGCTAGAGAAACTCACATCGAGATTGATAATCTGTACACAACAACGGTGTCTGCAGAAACTGCTGCATAAATTCCTTTTCCTTGAGTAACCTCCGTGGAGAGTCAGCCCTCTTACACCAGGCTGCATGCTGACCAGCCAAGGCAGATGAAACCGGGAGAAATGGTCTCAACCCGCTTGGTCGGACACGGGGTAAATGATATCACCAATTTTCATCTCTTTTTGATTGTTTGGTTTGATGGTTTGAACAACAGGCGGTTGGTCATGATATCCTTTCCTCTATTCGATCATGATACAGATGTAAATATCTGAACCATTGAGGGGAACGTACAGACTGGGTCCAGCCAGCCAGCCAACCATTTAGTTGTATTCCAAGCAGTTGCTGTCGGCCAGCCACCACACCACAGACAGACAGACAGACAGACAGACACGCACTCAACTCATTCACTTACTCGGTCACAACTTGTCCCGTCCTTCATTTCCCTTCTTTTCCCTTGCCCTCCTCCCACCAGGCCCCATTCAGCCCTCGTGGTGTTTGGTCTATTTATTTCTTCTCGGCTGCTCTTGCGTTTGTTCCCCTTGAGCCGCAGGACTAGTTCATTAGTTTATTATTAGTAGTTGTTGTACTCCGTAATACGCGAAGAGATCGATGTCGCAGCAGACTTTTCTCTTCTGATCATCATTCGGTCCACCACAACCGATAAATCATATTGTATTTTGGTCGTTCGTAACCAGTGTGAGATTAGAAAAAAATCGCTTGTTTTGTTCTTTTCCTTTTCTTACTTTTTCTTTTCTTTTTTCTCTCTTGTTCCGCCTGCTTTTGGTTAGGAGAGATTCCGATCTTTGCAGATACATCTCTCTCTCACACACACCCAGTCAACTGATCAGCAGATCGATCTGATTGATCAACGAGGATGCGTGTGGATGCCTGACCACCACCAGTTGCAGAACTGCAGATGTCCCCAGACGCATCCACGGCTGCTGGCAATGCAGCCTCTCCTCTCCTCCCCTCTTCCTCCTCATCCTCCTCCTCCTCTTTCACCTCATCCCCAGCAGACCAGCAACAATCTAACACTCGTCGACGACGAAAGACCGAATCCGCGGTGAACCAGCCACATCTTCATGCACATGTACCACATCAGGACCCGCATGAGTCCCTCTGTCGCCGTTCCATTGTCAATCGTGCCAGGACCATTACCTTCAGTGCCGGATCGAACCCACGCCCGAGCGAAGGTCCTTCCGTGACGAGGTCGAAACCAGGAATGCGCCCGACAGGTGTAGGTGTAATGATGGCGGCGGAAAGCCGTGAGGCGGGCAGAGCAACCGCGCTAAAGACAGCGACTCCCGCCGCCGGCAGCTGCGACAACAACGACTACTATTCCCCTTCAGCTCGTCCGACTGTACCTCGAACCACCACCACCACCACAACAACTTCAATTGTCTCGCCCACTTCTTCCTCCTCCCATTCTTCCTCATCAGCCGCCTTTGCTGCTGCTTCGCATACCTCTTCTCCCTCCGCTGTTCCTCGTCCCCCTCAGAGCCGTTTCAGCTTTGAATACAACTATCCTCTTCGCAAACGAGCTCTGACATCGTCGCACACCAGCGCCGCCAACTCTTCCGTCCAGAACGGCGACGACACGCATCCGGGCCCAGACCCGACTCCGACCCCCCAACAACGCACCATCCTGTATGACACACCCCGGCGGTCAGTCCCCAACTTCCATTTGTCCCACGTTCGCGATCCAGCGGGGTTTGGCTATCAACCAACGTCACCTCGACGGGTCGTAGAAAACGAACCCGACCCTGCGCTACCCCTTGACGCTCCCTCGACGGTTCGCGCGACGAATACAAATGCACCCAAGCGTCGAAAATCCTCTCTTTATGATCAGCAGACGATTCCAGACGTGAACGATAGAATGTCCGCCTCCTCGGTGGTTTATGCTCAGGGGCGAACGCCGGCTGACGAGCGCAGTCGCGGTGTCGATGGGTTCGACCGATACAACCAGTCAGGAGACGGCAACAAGACGCCGGTCGCTGATGATACTCGCGCCAAAAACGAGGATATTTTTCTAAACATTGCGAGATCGGATTCTGGTCGTCGCGATTCGTTCGGGCGATCAGAGCTTCGACGGGTGAGTCGGAGGCTCTGAGCTATTTTGCTGTACTTTTCATTTAGTGATTGTGGGAAACTGGAGCTAATTTTCGTCGGATCCCGGCACTTACAGTCGCGATTCAGGATGTCTGGTAGTGGACTTCGTTCATCAACCTCTCGTGTTTCGGAACAGATGCCTCACGCCGAGCCGCTTCGCTTGAATACTTACGATAGCCCCTTGCATCCGCATCAAGAATCTCCGTCCACCCACCACACAGCCGCCCTATACTCTTACTCAGCTTCCGCCCATCCACTGGATGAACATAGCCGCCCGTCCAGCTCGGCCTATGTCCCCAGTTCCAGGTCCGCAATTGGTCTACCACGAAGTCGACTGGGCCGGTCCAGTCCCGAACCCTTATCCTACAGCCCCGAGTCCTACCCTGAGAGACGCGGTTCGCTGCACGAGTCCCGAGCCTATCGCCAATCGACCCTTTCGTCTATTCGAGGCAGCCGACAACCATCCAGCTCGGATGTAACCGAACGCGCTCGATTCGAGTCCGAGCGGTCCCGTCAAGATGGGACGGAATCCACCTTGTCTACAACTGCGCCTTCCACGGTCTGGGATGAGCTCGAAGATCTCAAGTCCCGAATCAAAAAGCTAGAGTTGACCGGGAAGCTGCCGCCCTCGTCCCAGGAAGCGATCTCCTCCGCTTCTGGGGAACGGCCACCGACGGCCACAACGACTATGACTACGGTGTCGTCTTCACCCAGGCGTTCCCACAAGACAAGCACTTTCTCGGGTGAGGCAGAGGGCCCTAGCCCTGTCCATCCGCTACTACAGTCGGCTTTGGTCAATGCCAAGGACGTGCTTAGCAATGAAGTCTACGCCGCTTTGGAGGTGACCGCTACCGACGCGCTAGCGCTCTCGACTCTGCTTGGCTCCAACAAGGCCCCATCTGGTACCGGATCCGTGGTCAATGGGTTTAGCACATCTGATAGGCAGGCAAGACGGAAAGCAGACAGCGTTTGCCGCAGTTTAACCGAGCTGTGCCTTGCCTTATCGGACGAGCAACACCGGAGACAATCGGCCTTAGTCGTCAATGGTAGAGCTGAGGAGGAGGAAAGACATGCGCACGACGACGACACGTTGACTCCGACGCTGCCTTTTCGTCGAAGCACGACTCTTGATTCCGATGGGCTAGTGCGACGACAGAGCACCAAACGGGTAGGTAGCCGTTTAGAGGCCCGTCGATCAAGCGTCGCAACTGCCATTCCTTCGCCGGAGTCCCAACACGGCGACCAGAACAACGAACCAGTCTCAGAAGCGAAAGTGACCCACTCACCCAGTTCACCGGCGCCCACTCGGTTGAGTCGACTCTCGACTTCGTTACGGACCAAGCGACACCGGACTGATGATGAGGCCCTTGTTGAACAGACCCCGCAGGTTCGCTCGCCCACAAGAAGTATCGCGGACCTTAGCAGCGCAGCAAACAACTATCGCGTATCGCCACGCCAGCGCATATCTCATGGATATACTGCGTCCCAGTCCAAGGCTATTGCAACGCCGGATCGCAATCCTAGATTCTCGCTTCAACCTCAACCGTCGCAACTGCCTCAGCCTCGCACGCCTACCCTCTCACAGTCTGCGATTCCTCTGCGCCGGACTTTGATGACTCCAGGTTACACCCCTGCCACTGCGCGCTCGAACATCCAAGCGGGTTATCGTCGGTACGGTGCAGCATCTGGGCTGAGCTCTGCCACTAACACGAGTGATGGATCCGTTGAGGAGAGCGTCTTATCTCCACGACCAGAGGCTTCCCAGACTCGAATCATTGCACCCTCGAGCAAATTAGCTACGAGCTACACCCCGATCAGCCAAAACCGAGTTCGAACCAACAGTCTAGGCGCGCGGAAATTCGGGCTTCGACCGCGGTCACTTGCTGTGTCAGATGACGCTATCAACACGTTCGATGACCGAATCGATTAAATCCGTTCACGCCTCTTTTTGCTTCTTTCCCTACCTCTCATCTAAAGAAGCCAACGTCGTTCACGCATCCACACCCCCCATACACCTACACCATATCACGCAGCGCCTCATTCTTGGTACATGGATTGATTTCAGTTCAGCCGGCGTTTCTCTTATGATTTTGATTTTGACTCTCCCGGGATCGCCATGGAGCATCCTTGGAGACGTCTGTACGAAGTACTACCCACCTGCATTTGCACATGTAACGAGAGACTTCTTCCGATGCACTTACTCCCACTGACTCGACCGATCATCTCTGGCAAACTTTCTGATTGCAAATATGCCTTGCGTGGCACGATGAGATCTACTATGCATTATACGAATTTACTTGTATCTGTCTGAGCGATTGTCCCTCTATGCTCCCTCGTTTCTTTCTTTTTTTCTTTCTTTCTTTCTTATTATCTTCTTGCCGTCCATTTCTTTGCATGATCTCGGCCAATACTGCACATACATAGACGAGCCTGGAGGGAGTTCGGAGATTCCACTTCCGGCCTCCGGGGTTGGCCATGGCCCAGCCCACCAAAGGACTTGAGATCTCAAGCCTAGCACTCTCCTTTCTTCTTTGTTTGCTATCAGATTCCCTTCTTCCATTCGTTGAACCCATCTCTTTGATCCTACAACCTTACCTATTTCAATATGCTGTGTCCCCTGTCACTCACAGCCCCATCCAATCAATATCCCAGATCCCATGATACAATGTACAGTACTGTACCCAAGTCCCCTCCGAGGGCCAAGCTTTTTGTTTATTTTTAGGGGCATCCACGAGATTTCAAGAGATCTTGTCCATAATGCACTAGGGGTTAATGCGGATTACTCTGTAACTTGACTAACAATGAAGTAGTGATGGTGATGTTCATCGCATGCTTGGCTTTTGCGTTGTTGACTTGCTCAGATTGGCTGAGAAATGCTCCTGCTAGTGGTCTGGACACCTTGATCGGGAATGATATTTTAGCACCTCTACTACTGGTTGTTGTATATATGCCTATCGGCGGTTGCAGAGCGAGCTGATCACCTGACGTACTGTACTGTAGCTAGTAGTTATTCACTTGTATGACTATTGGACTGAACTTCCTTGGTTATCTATCTATCAACCACACAAACAAACAGTCCATCAATGAAGCGATGGTGAATTGCAGGCTATTGACTTCTACTATAACGGTATACGAGATTTAAAGGTGGATCCACACCACGGATGAGAAAATTGGGGGATTCATATTGTTCTGTTTCCCATCAAAAAAAACTGAGCTTTCAAAGTCCTGGTATACAGATTTGGGGATGATTCCATTGAGCCACGCGGAAGGGGAATTCCCTGCATAGCTTGCAGGAAGGAATGACCATACAAGGCATTGGAGGTATCAAGTGGCCAAATGCTTGATGTATGGAAGCTCGGGTATGATATAGAGAGCGAGAGAGATTTGCAAAGTAAGATAAAGTGAGCAGGAGCAAGCGGGCGAATGAGGGAAGAGGGACGATACATCACAGTCTGGGGTTAAGGTTTGGTAGGTTTTATGTTAAGGAGGTGTTGGGGGAGGAAGGATGACTTTTGCGGAAAGCAGAGAGATTCGCAAGTGTGTTGATGGTTACAGGAGAAAGGGATTAAATAAACATGCTGATGTTCCCCCCAAGAGGAAAGGGCAACGAAGCAAATAGAAGCACAGAGGCACGCAATTATCATGTAATGGATGGAACATAAACATCAGCTGCGGGGCATAACGTCGGCAGTAGTTCTTCCGATTTCGGATTCATTTCTTCTTTCTTCAAGTCAAAGCGATCATGGAGGATCACATAATACTGGTATCTGACAGGCATGCATGGTCCACCTTAGCAACGTTCTTGCTTCTTGTAAAACCAAGGAAGCTGCACATATGAGATTATAAGGTAAAACAGATAGGACCATATGAGAGAAAAAAAAAGACAGCGTCAAGAATCAAAGTAATTAGCACAAGCGAGAGGGAGACATCGCGCGATTATGTTCTCTGGGAGGAAGCGCATAAGGATTCGGGTGGTAGCAATGTGGCGCGAGATTTGTGCTTAAGGGTTGTCTGATGATAGGACTTTACTCCTGAGGAAGCTGGCTGCGGCGAGTCTTCTCGGCCTCGAGGTTCTCGTACAAAAGGTAGAGAGCCTTCTCGTTGGCCTGGGCGCTGCCCATGATGGTGAACATGCGCTCGCCCGTCTCATCGTGAGGAGCCTTGGCAATAGAGATCCGAGCTCCAGAGCTTCTACGGATCTCAGTGATCTTGCTTCCGCCCCTGCCAATGATGCATCCAACCATGTCGGCGGGGATGCTGATGTTCTGGGTCTGAATCTCCTCGCCGTCTTCGGTGACGAGAGGGTAGCCGCGGTTGCTGGTATCGGGGTTGGATCTTCTGCTGTAGCTGCCGGACTGGTCGCTGAAGTCGGCACCGTTGCCGGTGCGGTTGTAGGGGCGGCTGCTGTAACCATTGCCAGTGTTCTGGTTGCTGGCAGAGCTGCTAGTACCGCCGACCGAGGAGCGAACAGCAGGATTGTACAAAATAGTGCCGGTTCCGCGTTGCCAATCGTCGATGAGGCACTTTCCAATTTCCCAAATAGCCTTCTCGATGCCCTCGGGGGTGCCCTGGACCTCAACGATGCGCTCAGTGGACTGAGGCAGCATTTCCTTCTGCGCGACCATGCGCACGCCGGACGCGTCCTGGATGTGCTTGATCTTGAGACCTTGGCGTCCAATGATGGTACCCATCTGGTTGTGGGAGATCAAGAGACGGACGGCTAAGGATATTTTAGCCATTTGATAGACCAAACGATAAACTTAAGTGCGCGGGTTCACTTACGGTGGGTGCCATTGTTAGACACGACGCCTCCCATGCCCATCTGCGGGGCGCCCTCAAGCAGACCCTTGGCAACCAAAGCATAGGCGCGAGCAGTGCCGTGCAGGGGACCAGTGACGGTCAAGACGCGATCGTGAACTCCAGGAACAACCTTGCTCACACCAGCCTTCACACCGGTTTCGTCACGCAGGTCAGCAACATTCTTGCCGGCTTTACCGATGATGATACCGGCTTCTTTGGAGGAGACGATGGCGCGGAGAGTCAGCGTGGACTGGGCGTATTCCTCTTCGGTCTTGGGGATGACTTCAATGTCACCCTCATCCATCATGTCAACGGCGTCAGCCATGTTCTCATCAACCATGGGGTTCTCGTGCAAGTCGGAGGCGTCCATGATGTCAGGAAAGTAGAAGGTCGAGTAAGAAATCGAGAAAAAGGTGATGATCAAAGGATATAAGCTCTCGAAAGAAAAACTTCACCTATTGAGTCAGCTTCACATTTCCCAAGGAGAAGCGGAGGGATGACCGTTGTTTTCGCAACGATCTGACTAGATAGCGAAGTGATGGGCGAGGAAAACCCGACCTTGCGCCCGATGGATCGAAGGCGGTCGAGGGTCTTACCTGAAAATTCAACGAAGATAGAAGCGGGCGATAAAGCGGATATAACTCGAAGAAGAGAAATCGAAGGAGGGGGGGGTGGGGGTGTGGTGAAGAGGGGTGACGAGATCGATCCTGAGGGGTTTTCGGCGGGCGGGGGAAAAGGTGGAGGATGGGTGAAACGGGAGGGGGATGAAGGAGGGCGAAAGAACAAAGAGAGGTAGCGGGAAGGAGGAAGAAGGGAGGGATAGAAGAATCAGGGGAGAGGGAGAAGGAGGAGATGGAGAGAGAGAGGGAGAAGAGGCGGGAGGGAGGGGATACGGAAGAGAAGAAGAGGAGGAGAAGAAGTGGTGGTAGCGAGAATAGAGGAAAGGTGGAAGAGGAAGAGAAGAGGAAGAAGGAGGAAGAGGAAGAGGAAGAGGAAGAGAAGAGGGAGGGCGGGAGTAGGAGGAGAAGGTGGGAGCAGCAAACAGACGGACAGAGAGGCGCAGAAAGGCAGGAGGAGGAAAGAGAAAGAGCTTTGAGAGAGAATAATGTTCACCAGGCGGGTAGGCAGGCGGCGCTGGCTGGCTGGCTGGCTGGCTAACTGGCAAAGTGACTTTTAATCAGCACCTACCCGCTTCACTTCACATTACCACTCCTCCTCCGCTTCCTCCACATTCTCCCCTTCCCTTTCCCCTTCCCCTCCTCCTCACTCTTCAATCTTCCCTCACTTTCGGGCGTCTGTTTGTCTCTCCTCACGTCCCAACTGCTGAGTTGCAAATGTCTCTTGGACGACTCGATGGTGGCGATGGCGGTGGTGGTGGTGGTGCCACTGCTTGTTTTCGTTTTCACTTGTACTACTCTCGGGACTGTGATTACTACGACTACATCTCCCCCTCGTGTACAGTCAATCGCTTCTGCTTTCTAAGGGATTATCTGAGAGCGCTTAACAGCAGATCTTCCGTGCATTGAATGCGATGCAGACAGCCTATTTATCGACCTCAAAGATGACCTTCTGTACCTTCATCGCATTGAAGAGCTCATAGGCCTCAACCGCCTGTGAAAGGGGCATGATCTTGTCCGTCATGAACCTAGATATACTAGTCAGCCAAACCACTGCAAGGTCAGGGAATGAATAAACGATGCAACACGTACCCAAGAAGATGCTGGTTTTTCTTCAGAACTTGCAGGGCTTGCTCGGAAACCGAACGCACAGGGCATCGTCCCATGTGGACCGTCAGGTTCTTGCCGTAAGCCTCACTACCAGTCCATGGAATCTACACACAGATGCCAGTCAGCTTTTACCGACGAGACAAAGACCACCGGGCAACTTACCTCGCCATTGTGCACGCCAACACTGCTGATGGTACCAAAGGGCCGCAGCAGATCGAATCCGGTCCTCAAAGCCGGACTCAAGCCCACGACCTCGATGACCGCGTCTGCGCCGCGCCCATCCGTCAACTCTTGGACGCGCTTGTCCAGACCGTCCCGGTCGGTCTGGAAATTCCAGGGCTCGGCTCCGAGCGACTTTGCTAATTCAAGTCGCGCGGGAATCGAGTCCACCGCCAGTAAATGCTTAGGTTTGTACTCGAGCGCATTGATCAGAGCACAAAGTCCGACTGGCCCGCAGCCGATGAGGACGACCGTCTGCTCTGCAATTTGCTCGGGGCTGGATGCCTTGAACGCATTACGCGCCGCGAAGTAACCCGTAGGGAAAATATCGGCCATAAGCACCAGAAGCTTGTCATCAACACCTTCGGGGGTCTTGACCACTGTGCCATCCGCATTGGGAATTCTAATCTGTTCCGGCAAGTTCAGCCTCTTCATCGCTGGGGATGATCTGACCCTCCGCCCTCAGATCTGTAGAATCTACTCACATATTCGGCCTGAGCGCCGTCGAGGTTATCGCATCCCAGCAGGACATTCTGCTCACATCGCGAAGAGTGTCCCTGAGTGCAGTACCAGCATTTGCCGCTGACCAACCCATAATCAGTATAGAGATCGAGTTCCCCGCTCAATAGCCACTCCTTGAGGCCAACTCATCCGTCCTCCTCTCAAATACATTCCCCAACTCCTTCCCTGGCCCCAGTAAACCACTACCACCACTACTACCAGGACAACACTAGCAGCACCCATTGGAAGAGGATCACTTACCAAGACGTGGTAAAAGCGCTCACAACCGAATCTCCCTTCTTGACCGAGCGCACCTCATCCCCAACCTCAACAACCACTCCGGTAACCTCATGTCCCATCACAACCCCTTCCCCACTCGGCTCAATTCCCCGGTACACATGAAGATCACTAAAGGAGAGCACTCATCAGTAAAGGCTCGAGATCCTCTCACACAACCCCAATCCATGAAGCTATACCCCGCGCCTAACCCCATAATCAACAATACCCTTCCCCTCCGACCAAATTCCAGCCTCCAGCCCACGAAAACACGAAAGAAAAAAAGAAACTCACCTCCCACAAAGCGCCGTATACTTCACCTTAACCACCACATCCCTCGCGTCCTGAATCCGAGGAACCGGCCGTTCCTCCACCGCGACCTTGTAAGGGCCGCGGAAAGCCACCACGCGCATGCTCTGTTGTTGTTCGCTGGACATTTGTCGGATCTTTTTTGCTGCGATTCGAATGCGAAATATTATGTTCTGATTTGCTTCCCCGAGCACAAGTTCAAGAATTCTGGCGTCGTGGATTGGGAATGATATAGAGAAGAAAAAGAGGAAAAGAGAGGGCTTGGAAAAAGATTTCCCTTTCCCCTAACTAACGTGCCCAAGAATGTCCACTCCGATAGCCGGCGCGGGCGCGGTACATGCGACCGCGGGTTGCCCCTCCCCCTCTCCCTCTTGATGATGCTTGGGTGGGTCCATTTTTTTGTACGTAAAGGCATCGGCGACTTGGGGGGGATGGTCATGAGGGGTAATGTTGAGTGAGGAGCTGGAAGGTGCAAGAGATTAAAGTAATTGTTTTGGCTCTGTGGTGTATAGTTAGGGTGTGCGGAGGTTTTTGGTGAGGTAGAGGGTTTATCTGGGAGACTGTAGATGTGGATGGGAGGTATATAATTGGGGTCATACTCTGCGGGCGCGGACGTACGGAGTACGGAGTAGATATACTACTAAAAATGTCAAGGCGATCTCCCCGGGTCCTCGAACCTCAACAACCTAGTGCAGATCATGCAGGCTGTAGTACACTACAATGCGAGCTGGAAATGCCTGCCAAAGTTGTCATGATGACTCAAAATGCGACCGTCGAAAATAAAGAAGACATTCTATCAACTCCAGACCACATGAATGGAGGTAAAAATAACGTAGCCACTAGCCCATAAGAGCAGCCAAGCTCCGCACATTCAAATTACCAGCTCATGCACCACTTGACCATCCATTCGAGTCATGAACTGTTTGTTATAAGTGTCGGGCGAAACCCTCGAGGGTGGAAATCAACTGGCATACCACCAAGCCAAAGTCAAAGTGTTTGTTTGCACCATTAGAACGCCGTCATATCGCTCAAAGAATAACCAAGATAGTAATAAGCAATCGCTCACTGAACGAACCCAGTCTCCAGCTTTCAACCCACGCAGACCTAATGGGGGGGCCCATCTTAGAGACATGCACAACATCAAGGCCATGTGTGCATGTGGCTATATCGGTTGCGTCTCTTCGTGGCCACCACCGTTAGGATAAAGAAACCTCAGCACACAACGCACAGGAGCTCCTCCTCTAGAATGAATTTCCCCTCCTTGTATTTCTCGCTCGTCTCGTAGGCCTTGTCGTATTTCCAACCGACCGTCTCCTTGCACTGTCGACAGGCGATATCGCGAACAATATGTCTTCCGGTGGTCATGCTCCGCTCCACGGCCTCGGTCTGGGTGACGTTCACGACGTTGTTGAAGAGGTATGCCTTGCCATGCTGGCCGCGGAAATTCTGCAAGGCAAAGAGAGACGATGGTCAGCTGCTGCTGCTGCACTTCAAGAGATAGAAAACAACGCAAAGAGATTTGGGAACTTGAACACACATACTCGGCTGATGATGTCGTCGTAGTCGGCCAGGTGGGTTTTGCATTGCTTACACCCAAAGATCTTGTTGGAGGTCAGGTAAACGTTGTATATGAGACCCATTGTGTCGTATCCCGTGACTGCCTGCCCACACTGCCCCCGGTGCTGTCTAGGTGCTGTAGTGTCACAGATTTGAGAGAGTGCAGAATCACGTTCGAGAGAAGATAAAGCCAGAGATGCAAGTTGGAAAGTGAACAAGGGGTTCTGTTAGTAAGTCTTGAGCCTTGGGATTGAGTCCTAGCCTTTGCCCCTATGCAGATACGGTTGGCTTGGTTGTCTTATCGTGCGTGCACAAACAAAGGTTAATCTCGGTCGAGAATGTGATGGGATTTCGACTACTGTGTCAGAAGACTAGGGCAAGAGAACTCGGAAGGGAGATAAATCTCAGGTAAATTTGCAGGGAGATGACTGTTTCTCCTGGTCTGGGCGTGGGGTGGTTGTGATGATGATAAGCAGCTGCGGTGGAAGGACCTCGGGAACAAGCGGAGGTGCAGCCCAGACCAACGGGCTTAATTATGGTTTAGTTGTGCCACTTGGTTGATCAGGAAATCCGAGCAAGTGGGCGAGAGTGGATTTTGAAACAGAGTCAGTCGATAGATAGATCACTTCTTGCCTTCCTGCAGCCAGGGGACGAACGGGATGAGGGGAAGGGGGACGAAGATGAGATGAATGAGCCGGGAGGTGGAGGCTACCGACTGTCCAGTAAGTAAGTTACTGTACGCTGTACTTGTAACTTCAGGCAGCTGCTCCCCGTCGGAGTTGAGGAAACGCCCCCGCATCTGGCCAAGTTTGGGAAGAGACCAGCCCCCGTGACGCAGTGATCGATTCATCTTGTGTAAAAGCCTACTAGTCACTCGTAATGGGTCTCGCACATAATCTTAGCCGCAAATAATGACAGGTACAATACATTTCCTCAATAGTTTGGCTCATCACCCAACACTACGTTTCACTGATCGATACATGACCCCGCTTCGGATTGAGCTTATCATTGTTATCGCTTTATTGTAGTTAACTGACGATAACTAATTCAACATTTGCATCTGTACAAGCACCTGTACAACGTCACAAGCATATTCTCACTCTGAGCGTTATCCGTCCGGCATGAAAACAATTAAACATATAATGGGTACACTACTTCAACTGTGAAGCATACGTCTTCCACATTAGTACGGCAACATCAGACACGCGCACTCCCCACTCCATGTCTCATGACGTGATCGGTAGGATGCCCGACCTTTCAATCGTAGTCATGCACGCGCCTTTCCCTGAAGAAAGTTGCGATGTAATACCTATCTATACCTTCAACTTGCTCAACTTGCACACAAACCTGTCTAAGTAACAGATGCCATTAGTGCGGCTGAGCCGCCAATTGCATTGGTCATTATCCCCCCGGGGCCCGATTTCCAGCCATCGTGCATATTTACACATTCATCGTTGACCAAGCAGAGTCTTGTTATTTTCCCAGAACTGCCGGCAGTCGGTGTGACCCCAGTGTTCGGTCCACCACTCGCCGAAGCTATCCTCCACATTTTCGTCGAGTTTGGGCAACCGCTCGTCTCGTTTCAATCCGCAGAGAGCACAGGCATGTGATGCTTTGAGTGCGCCCCGGTCGGCGCCAAGCGTCATCGCCCGAACGTTCTCCGGAATGTTAGGAACTGTTCGGTTTCCGGAAGCCTGGATGACAGAGTTGAAAAGTGCCGCCCTGTCACGCCACATGGTGAGCACATCCACCGCCTGTTGCTGCTCTTTGACATCCTCATTCTTGTTGACCGTGCTGAGCTTCATACCCCCAGGCTTGCCTGCCGGGCCAATGCGCATGCTCTGGCTTAGGATCTTGTCTCTTTTCCATCGCAAGGTACGGCCCGCAACCACTCGAGCGGCAGTCCTCAGCGTAATCTGAATTGACCACGCTGCACGTTCAACTTTAATTTTGTGCTGCATGTTCTTCCTTGCCTCTAGGGCCTCATGTCGGAGTTGCTCGAGCACCTGAGGGAACAACTCCAGCAATACTGATGGCGGTGGTATGTTGGTTGGACGGACTTGATCTGCCGTAGTTGTGGAGCTGGGGACTGCAAACTTCAAACCGGAGTTAGTAGCGCTATTTGTAGTGTGCAAATGCTTTGTTCTGCTCAAAGCAGATCCAGGCTGTGTCCTCGAAGCTGGTGCCTTTCGGTCCGGTGCCTGACTTTGTGCTGTAGCTGGCCCGTCGACAAAGTCACCCCAATCTTCGAAAGAGTCATCTTCAGTAGACAGTGAGGGTGTCGGATGCGGCGGTTCCTTGCGGATCTTCTGAGCGTTGCCTTGCTGTCGTGTGGCAACGGTCTGTTTAGCAGACACAGACGGCTCAATTTGAATCGATGGTGAGTCTAGAAGATCGAAGGGCTCTTGTACAGTGACGGGGCGTACGGCAGAAAGCGTGCTTTGAGGCTTCGGCTCTTCTACAGGCGCTCGTTGAGGAGGCACATCTGCAGTTTCGAACTCGCCCCAATCATCGCTCTCATCGTAGGTGGCGGTCTCAAGAGTGGCATCGAAAAGTACGTCGTTACCACTATCATGCTGTACCGGTCCCGATGCAAATGACTTGTCCCAAGATGAGCTTTGCCATTGGGTGCCTGCTGCAGCGGACTGGCTCGCTTGGTTCGAGAATGATGTTGAGGACGTCTCGCCAAAGAAGTCCAGGTCAGGGATTAGAGAAGAAGATTGATGTCTCGCAGGTCGCTGACTCGTAGAATTCGCAGGCTGGCTGGAATTGGTATTGACACCAAATTCTGCAAACAGGTCCGCGGACATGGATGGCTGACTGCGTGAGGATTGTTTTGGTTTGATTCACCGAATGCCTCTCGGGGCAATACAGTTGCCACTAGATGGAATGGACTGCTAAACCAGAAGGACTAAAAGACAAATGCCAACAGACCGATCAATAGAACAGACCATACACAGTCCCTTCGAAGTAGAACTGATCTGCACGTAGTCAGGTCAGCCTTTTGTCACGCTATGTAGTGATCGAACTATACCTAGCGCATAGATAAGGGCGGCGTGGCCGGGACGGAGAGTGATGTTGCAGTTGGACCCAAGGAAAATCCTCAGCTCATCGGCGGGTCCAACCTCCGCGGCTACGGACAACTGCCCGCAACCTTCGACCGCCGGACCAGCACTTGTTTGTGCCTTTGATGCGCGTCAATCTGCAGCATTTGTGAACATCGATCTGCGAAGAGCCATATGGTGAAATGAGGGGAATCGAGGAAACAAGGTATGGCCATTTTTTTACGCATGCCCACCCTCTGAAGGAGATCTCTCAGCTCAAGAATGGTCAGGCAGCGATGGGATACCCTGTTTTGCGACAATGACACCACCGCCGGCTTTCGGAACGCCCTCAGATTGGAGCAAGACGACAAACTGTGCAACGATGGGCTGAGATCGATCTGTTGGAAGGCATGCGTCTGCTACTGCTCTATTGTAATCTCTGTCGCTTACCTTGGGGGTGTAGGCCTTCCTGCTTTTCGACGATCTGGATCGGGCACAGTGGCCGCAGAAGCTATCGGATTCACGAAGCGCCTACGTCGCCTTGAAGGCCCACTTCCTGAAATATATTGACCACCCGGACGATTTGGAATCGACCGTTGATCCGCTGGCGGATGATGTGGAGGTACTTACCAGTATACTGTCATGGCCCTTGAGATCGCGGTGAACTGACACGATGTTGATTTCCATAGTCCCCATGGCAAACTCTACGGAACGATGAGCAGACAAGAGCGGATATCTCGCAGGATGTGGATCGGTGTTTACAGGAGAACTTCTTCTTCCGGGAGCCCACCACCAAAGCGAAGATGATCGATATACTATTCATTTATGCGAAACTCAACCCAGACCTAGGCTATCGGCAAGGCATGCATGAGATATTGGCGCCTCTCTTGTGGGTGGTCGACCGGGATGCGATCGAGACGAACCCACTTGAAGATACCAGGGAAACGAAACCGGACGATAACGCGATGCTTAAACTTCTCGATGCCAACTATGTGGAGCATGATTCGTTTGCGCTTTTCTGCTCAGTGATGCAGAATGTCCGCGTGTATTACGAGCACAATAGGACTCGATCGGCCAATGGTCAGTTGGACGTTATTCCAATTGTGCATCAGTGCCAGCGCCTCCACAATGAACTCCTGGTCACGGCAGATCTCGAGCTTGCGGATCACTTGCAGGCACTAGAGATATTACCACAGATCTTTTTGACGTAAGTCATGCATCTATTCGAATGGGGAGCGCAAAACTGATATGATGTGGAGTCGTTGGATGCGTCTTCTGTTCGGGCGCGAATTCGCTTTTCAAGACGTTCTTCAAATCTGGGATCTACTCTTTGCAGAAGGCCTACGCCCAGAGCTCATTGAATATGTTTGCGTTGCAATGCTGTTGCGGATCCGTTGGCAGCGTGAGAATCCCTTCCCCTTGCGAAATGATACAATGATGCTCCTTACTCCCGAATTGGTGATGCGTGCTGCGAATCCATGTGCTAACAGTTTCCAGTACTGAGTGCTGATTCCTCAAGCGCTTTGAGTATCCTGCTGCGCTATCCAGCCCCCGACCCCCATTCACCGCTGACCTTTGTCTACGACGGGATATATCTGGAGCAAAACCCCACCCCAGAGAGAGGTCTATTCATCATCTCGAAGTATTCCGGTAGACCACCGGATCTGTCGAGAGGACTTGGACAACTGAGTGCCAAACCCTCTAAAGGGAAGTTTCGCCTGCGAAGTGCATCTAGGGATCTGAGTGAGGTCAGCTCTCCTTCCAGGTCACCCGCAAGAAATAGTCCGAAGAGCCTCGAAGCGCTATTCCAGGACGTATCGGAGGGTATTCAGCGCCGAACAGAGGCCTGGGGAGTCGCCAAAGCCGTTCGAGGAGCAGTGAGCGAAGCAAAACGAAACATGCAATCTATTCAGTCGGAACATCAGCATCGCGGGACACGATACGAGAACCAAAGCCAGGGATTGGACACTCCCTGGGATCGTGCTTCCGATGATACATCCAAGTTGAAAGCGAAGATCGAGGAATTGGAGGGGCGGAATAGAGAACTCGCCAAGATGCTAAGTGTGGCGCTGAAGGACATACGCTTTCATGTTAACAAAGCCGAGAATATGGACAGCAGTGACAAGGACACTCTGGAGCAGGCTCTCGATAAGGTTCAAAGCATTCAAAGCTGTCTGGAAGACCACAACATCCCCTTAAGCGCTGCCGATCAATCCCCGAGCGAGCATAGTAATGCCGAGTCCGAGACGCCCCCTGAAGCTGCTGAAGTTCCCAGTGACAGCGCAAAAATTGCAAACGATGGGGCAGATCGCGCCTCCACTTTTACACACCGGACCAGTACATCTGCCGAGTCACCCAGATCTCCCATTGGCGTTGGGACGAAGGTCAACCGCAGTACCGCCACCAGCCCACAGTTTCCCACTTCCATGCCCCTCCGACATGTATCTCGGCCATCGTTGGCCGACTCGGAATTCTCATGGATGCTCGGCGGCAAGCGACATCTCTCGAGCTTTGTCAGCCCGGCATCTGTACTTCCGGAGCAGACTCGTCACGGAGAGGGTCGCCCGCGGTCTAAACCAGCTTCCCTCTTTGGCAATGGGGACGAAGAGCATGGCAAACCCGGCGCCGAGATCGAGTCGGATGGTCTGGCCCTGCGAAGTCTCCGTGGACCTAAACCATGAGAGACCCGACGGTGCACGCGGCAATCTAACCCGGCGTTACATCAAGCAATGGACATTTAGCGGTGAAATATTAAGTATGTAATGGCTTGTCTTTTCTTCAACATATGTATTCACCATCAGAGGAGGAAGTGGGACGTGGGATTTACATGCTGTTTGGGCCTTGCGCACGTATAGAGTGGTTCGGAAGGTGTTTCGCCACCTTAAAATCACCAGTTATGCGCTGAGCACGAGCCTTGCTGCTGGGGCAAGATTTGACTCGACTGACATACTATGTACCAGCTGGGTCTGGTAGGCATGGCTAAATTACTCTGCACTCAGGTACAGTATCTGACGTACCTGACTTCAAATCGGTGGTTATCACGAATCGACCCCTAGGCGCTTGTCCGTTCTCATTTCCTGAGGCTTGGGGAGAAACCTGTACGAGTCATACCTGCAAGAAGGACAAGAAATGCAGCGATCTTAGAACAGCAAATGCGAGCTGGGCTTGACCATGCCCAGTGACGCTGGTGGATCTGCAATTGCCAGTCTGGTGGCCCAATCAATCTCGATTTCGGATAGTTGGTCGTGATCTACAGACCACAGACTACCGCTGAGAGAGTCTGAGCATCCATGGGCCATGGAGGGGACGGCTATTTCGGTTAGTCAGCCAAGCCTCCCCCAAGCATTTCACGTCTTAGTTAATAGTCGGACTTGGATGGATGAAATGAATGGGCATTTTGAGGAGGGGAGGCAGAGTAGGGGGTAGGAGGGGAAGCGTGCGATGACAGATCGATGGGCATTGTGGAGCATACTGTGTGCTTCTCTCTGGATTGATTCATTGCTATTTTCCTTCAGCGAACTTGTTAACTACTCATAAATTACATCACCATCAGCAGCATGAAGCTTGAGCATTGTCTTTCCTTAGCCGTATTGGGCTCAAGAAAGGGGAAGGAGGGGGGCGCGTCTTCAATTGAGAGGGACTGCATTAGCGTATCGGTTGAACCCATTGGGGGTCGCCATGCGCCCGTTCTTACCATGTATGAGTAGAAGCTAAGGTAGCTAAAGGTACGGAAAGTTTCTCATGTGTTTCTCCAGAGATCCCGGAGGGGAGGGGCGACCGTGCCATATCATTCCCGCCCAACTTGTCCCCTCATTGTAAATTGATCGCATTCAAAGGCCTTGTTTTCGTCTCTTCAGCTTTATTGCAAATTGAGGGGGTCACCTACTTGAGTAAGTAAGCTATCAGCGGGTCCAGATCGAGCGGTAATCCCTCCCCTCGTGTTTCAAGGCCACGAAAGGACCAGATGGAGGGTTTCAGCGGAAATGGGAAATCCAAACAATTCCTAAAAAAGGAAGCGAAGTAAGACTCCCCAGGGAAAAAAGCACAGAAGTCAGAAGAACCGGAAATGGAATGAGTCTTCTGCTTTGCCCGGACGTCATTCATCATTCCTCCAGTACTTCCGTACTGGACTCATAGACACACACCGACCGCATCGTCAACCATAAGTGAACTAACTTATCTCAACAACAATAGCTTCAATTCAAGCAAGCCAGCAAGCCCGCAAGCTGCCTTTCTTGTCTCCACTATTATATTACCCACTTCTCTCTCTCTCTCTCTCTCTCTCTTCCTCTTCTTCTTTCCTTTCCTTTTCCCTAATCCACTCACTGCACCTCCCTCACTTCATTGGGGCATAGTTATAGTATCGTTAGTTTCTTCTCCCGCCCTTCTCTCAAATTTCCTTTTTCCTTCGAATCTCCCTCTCTGCCTCTCCGAAGAACCCACATTTGGGGCGTGACTATTTCCTTTCCGTCCCTTGGCTGGTTGGCGGTGCCCATCAACTTATTATAATCATTCTTCCTGCGTTTCCACTCACTCACTCAAGAGGTTCACCTCCTGAAACCCCAGAGGCCATTTATTGGCCTTCTTTTCTAGCTTGATTGACTACAAAACACTACCACTAACTACTACTACCACCACCACCACCATCACCACCACCACCGACACAAACCGACATACATCCTTCCTTCTCTCCCCCCTCCCCCTCCCCTCCCCTCCCCTCCCCTCCCCCTCTCCTTTCTCTCAAACTCTTCTTCTTCCCCGCGTGCACGCCCTCGTTCGCCATCCTCGTTCGCAGGTGTATGGTACCTGTGACCTCACGAGGCAGCTGCCCTCTTGTCCTTCCGCCCGCAGTCCGCTGACAATTTTTTCTGACCTCCTCACCTTCCCTTTAAACCACCCCTTACCAATTCAATCTACTGCAGCAACAACTGATCGAATTGCTGCATAGTCCTTCGCCCCATTGCACTCAAGGCGTGGACGGGAGGAGGTCTTCGATCATCCTGTGCAAAAAAAAATCTATTGTCCCTCGCAGTAACACGTCAAACTTCCAACGCACCCTCCACCCACCCCCGTCTGCAGGACAACCCGCGCAAGAAAAATTTCCTATCAATTCACCTCTCCTTCTCCTACAACTCATCTTCCCCCCCACCCTCCTCCTACCCACCTCCCTGATCTCCCCGAAAAGAGAACAATCTTTTCCATGTTTCACATGTTGTGATCCCATGTAGCAATAAACAACATTGTTCTTCCCACCCTAGTTCTCTATTCGTTATTCCTTCCAGGTGCGCCGGGTTGAACCGCTTGTTATCAATCGGTCCGATCGGTGCTGTTTCCTCTACAATTGTCACCATCTTGGGGAAATATGGGTTCTTCGTCCTACGATCTTGACGGTTAGTCTCCCAGGTCCCAGGTTTCTCCACGCTTCCCCATCCTCTTCTTGTCCCCGTGTCTTTTCCTCGCATTGCGAGCCTTCCTGCCTGCCCACTCCAGTTGTATCAGCATCGGCATGTGAAAGTTCCTGGTTCCGAGAAGCGTATGTGGTAGGTGTATACGAACGACGACTGCGACCCCCAAAAGCGCCCAGCCCCGAGCTCCAAATCGGCAGTGATTCTCGAAGCGAAGTGTGAATGCGCCACCAAACAAAAGAATGCCAAGCGACTTTCTGGCCAGTCACTAAGACTCCCATATCGGAACGACCGACACTGCCGCTCATTATCCACATTTTTCGTTATGCATCTCGGAACAATTCAGCCACTTCATTCCCCATCCCGGGATCAATGCTTCTGAATGGGTAGACGACGACTCAAACCAAAGATAAGGAGGGGGCAGTGAAGCAGAGACGGGAGAAGGGACTCAGAAAGTGAAAGACATGCAGCTAACCTCGCGTTGAGGATTTCTAGATGATCCAAGTCCGTTATCGTCTCCGTTGGGACCCCTTTCACAGTCGCCTCAGTCGGATCACTTCATCAGACGCCTCTCGACCCATACCGATGATTCAATGAGATACTCTGCGGAGAGTGTCTCGTCTAACTTCGACCATCTCTCGAGGTAGGTGGCCGACCCTTGCGTTGTCCGGCAGCAGCTTTCTGCATTAGTGCAAATCCGCAGATAGGGACTAAAAAGAGATTTCAAAACTCCCTTCACAGATCTTCTCTGCTGGATCATGAACATGGACTTGGCCCATCAGGTCTAGATCGCATACGTCAACAACCTTCATCGCGAGCGTTCACCCTTCCGAACATTTCCGCCTCGTCGCTTGGCCCAGTGGCTTCGCGCAGTCATTCACCTTCCCCGCGTTCCGCCTCATCGTCCCGAGCCTATCCCACTCGCCTTTTTGCCAGTGACGACATTGAGACCCTGGAGGACCTCCATCGCTTCCCTTGCGAGTCGCTGCATTCGTTCTCGTTCGCTCAGAAATCGGAGGAATTGCTTCACAATCGGCATAATATCTTGAAGAGGTCGATCGATTTCATGCGCGACCGCTTCGGCTGGGCTACCGGCAATAGCCCTGCATTGGCTGCTGTACAAGGCCGCGCTGGCGGTGACTCGGATACGCAGAGCGTGCTGGATATCTCGACAAGAACGAGTGTATTAGCCAAGGAAGACCGATTTCACTTCGCAGGTCTGACGCGTGGTCCGCAAACCGGCCCTGCTAATGTGGATAGTGATAACATCTTTGAGAGAGCTTTTACAGACCCTCAACTTGCAGCCGGCAGGTTTGGAGAGATACCTGCGGAATATGGCTCGATGGGGGCTCAATTGCGCTACTCAGGACAGGGAGCGGATGACCCGAGATCGCAGCAGCAGGAGGAATTGAGGTCACACCCTTCATCTAGGCGCGTAAGCATTAAAAAACGTACTAACACCGAAATCGGTTCTACCGCTATCCGGGGCAAGCTGATGGAGACTCTAGCACCCTATACAACCACCGACCCCTTTTCTCCAACCAGCTCCTCAACCTTTGGATACGGATTTCCCGTGCCTGTGCTACATACCCACAGCAGCAAGTGGACACCAGCATCGCAGGCTGTGTTCCGGACCGAATCGCAGGAGCCGTGGACTATCTTGGCAGCGAATGATATCTCGTGTCTCATATTCGGTGTCACCCAAGGGGAACTCCGCAAACTAAGTATACTGGAGGTCGTACAAGAAGACCGGCGGGATTGGATTGAATCCAAATTACGGGACCCTTGTACTGAAGCGGCGGCAAAGCTCAAACCTTCGCCGGAACGAACGCGTTCCAAGCCCGCGAATACCAAGTCGCTGGGAATGGGCAACGGTGTGACAGCACAGCTGCTGAGTAAACCGCCTTCTCGAGCAAGGCCTCCCCGGAGGGCGCAGACCGACGATGGCTATGGCTCTAGCACGAGACAGTTGAACCATCCTCCGACCAAATCCCGCGGGGTGCTTCTTTGTGGGGATGTTGTGCCTATCAAGAAGCGCGACGGCAAAACAGGGTCCGCTAGCATCTGGGTGATGGAGAAACGAGGGGGCTTGATTTGGGTTATTGAGGAGATTCAAGAGGATGTCGTGACAGTCACTTGCAACGAGTCTTGGGATATCGTGAAGGTCGATGGTGATGTGGACAAGATCTGGGGTCACGGTGCGGTGAAGCCCGGAGAACGGATTACAGAACTTCTGCCTCGCCTTCCTGAGGACTGTCTGGCTGGCTCCATGCGCA